CTCAAAAGAATGTTACGAGTAACCACTTCATCTCGCACAAAGTGGCAATCATTCTCGATGTGCTTCGTTCGCTCGTGAAAAACCGGATTTGTTGCTATGTGAATGGCTGATTTGCTGTCACAAAATACATTCATCGGCTGAACATGCATTACTCCCAACGATCCCAACATTCTCTTTAACCAAATAAGTTCTTGAACCAAGTCTGCCATTGCCCGATACTCTGCTTCTGCTGAAGAACGACTAACCGTTTTCTGCTTCTTTGTTTTCCAAGATACCGGAGAGTCACCAAATTGCACAAAATAACCAGTAACTGATCGTCTTGACACAGGACATCGAGACCAGTCTGAATCACACCAACCAGTGATTTGAAAATTTCTATTCGAACGTAATAGAACACCTTGTCCCGGGTCCGACTTCAAATAGCGAACCACTCGCAAAGCTCCTTCCCAGTGAACCTCACGTGGTTCTTTCATAAACTGAGCCAAAACATGAACAGAATATGCTAAGTCTGGACGAGTTACTCCCAAATAGATCAAACGACCCAATAACCTTCGATAAGGTGTTGCATCCGGTAAAAGAGGAGAATCAGAAAAGTGTAGTGTATGACATTGTTCCAATGGAAAAGCTGCAGGTTTGGCACCCAACATACCCGTTTCCGCAATGATGTCGAGAGCATATTTTCTTTGACACAAATACATACCAGATGCATTGCGAGCTATCTCTATGCCCAAGAAGTACTTCAATTCGCCTAAATTCTTCATCTTAAAACATGAAGCTAAGTATGCCTTAAACGCCTCTGTTTCTTTGTCACAGCTCCCAGCAATTATTAGATCATCAACATATATGAGAATATGTATACGGATTGTACCTTTTTCATAAGTGAAAAGAGAATAATCACCCAATGCCTGCTCAAATCCATATTTCTTCAATGCAGTAGTTAGCTTAGCAAACCAACACCGCGGCGCCTGCTTTAGACCATAGAGTGACTTCCGCAATCTACAAACTTTGTTTTTATCTTCTAACTGATATCCCGGAGGCAAACGCATGTACACTTCTTCCTCCAAATCTCCATGTAAAAATGCGTTTTGAACATCCATTTGATGCACTATCCAACCATGTTTAACCGCCGTGTCCATAAATAACCGGACTGTGCCCATTCTAGCCACGGGAGAAAAAGTTTCTCCGTAGTCTTCTCCTTCAATTTGCTTATTACCCATCGCTACTAGTCTTGCCTTATAGCGTTCAATAGTTCCATCTGATTGGAACTTAACTTTGAAAACCCATTGACTCCCAATTGCTTTCTTGTCTTCGGGTAAATCAACAATGTCCCATGTGTGATTTTCCTCCAAAGCCTCATATTCAAATCCCACTGCATTTACCCATCTCTCATCCTCCATTGCCTTTTTGAACGATTTGGGTTCCACAGTAGAAATCACAGCCGCTACATACGCTACATGTTGCTCCGAAAATCGTTGTGTTGTATCTTGTTTCGCAATCGGATACACCACGTTACAGCTCTCTTTGGTTTGCTTCGGTTTCGGATTGACAACATAATCCTTCAGCTTTATCGATGATGTCTTCGATCTTTGGCCTTTACCCATTCTAGGTTCTGATTGAGCAATTTCGTTTTCTGGTTCTAGAGAAGAAGAAGACGACGATACATTTGTTTGTTGTTCATTGCTGGGTCGTGTTGCCTCTTCATCATATTGGGCCGGTTCAGTTGTGTGGCTAGTGGACCCAATTTCATAAACAGTCCTTTGCGCAGCAGGTGGAGACGTATTGATGGGCCTATTCGGCACTGGCCCATTAACTTCGTCATCTCCTAAAATTCCCTCAGAAATTGGAGCCCACAAAATGTTACCTTCTTCTTCATCATCGAGAAAAGGTAATTGTGTTTCAATGGAGAATGGATATTTCTCCTCTGAGAATACCACATCTCGTGAGACAAAAAATTCCAAGCTTTCAAGATCATATACTCTCCATCCTTTCTTTCCTTGTGGATACCCAACAAAAACACATCTTCTACTTCTTGATGCAAATTTATCACCATGTCTTGTTTTATTATGAGCATAGCATAAGCTTCCAAATACCCTCAGATGATCAAATGACGGAGCCTTGTTAAATAACTTTTCAAACGGAGTTATATCGCCAAGAACAGAACTCGGTGTTCTGTTTATCAAATATCCAGCCGTTAATACACACTCCCCCCAGAATTTAATTGGTAGATTCGCTTGAAATCTTAACGCCCTTGCAACATTCAAAATATGTCTGTGTTTCCTTTCCACTCTTCCGTTCTGTTGCGGTGTGTGTACACAAGATGTTTCATGTAGAACTCCATTGGTTTGGAAGAATGTTGTCATGGATACAAATTCCAAACCGTTGTCACTCCGAACTGATTTCACCTTTGTGTTAAACTGTCTTTCTGTGAGAGAGAAAAAAATTTTCAAATGTATTGAAGCTTCACTTTTGTCTGTTAACAAATATAGCCAAACTCCTCTTGAAAAGTCATCAACAATCGTTAAAAAATATCTAGCTCCTGAATGTGAAGGAACTCGATATGGTCCCCAGATATCAACATGAATAAGCTCAAAAATCTTTGAAGTTTTATTCAAACTGATCGGAAAACTATCTCTTGTTTGCTTTGCCCGAAGACATACATCACAAGTCTTATTCAAACTAGCAACTGAAACAGAACTAGAAACACAAGGAAGTAATGCAACAACTCTTGCTGATGGATGTCCCAACCGTTTGTGCCACAACTCAAAGGACCCATCTTCTCTCGTTGTTACCGCAGCAGCAAGCTCCGTACTTCGAAAGTGAAAAGTCCCACCAACTCTCTTACCAGCTCCAATCACCATCCTCGAAGCTCGGTCCTGAACCACAAGAAACCTGTCAGCTAACTGAACAACACACTTGTTTTCATCCATTAGCTGACCCACAGAGATCAAGTCTGACTTCAATTCTCTAACATAGTAAACCGATTTCAACACCAAACCAGAACCAAGACAAACTGTCCCCTCTTTGAGAGAGACTTGCTCTCTCCCATCTGCCATAATTATCAACACTGGTGGCATATCCCTCACATTTGACAATGTCTCAAATCGTCCTGTCAAGTGATGAGATGCCCCTGTATCCATTATCCATTATCCATCTTCCATCGTAATCATGCATGAAGGAATTGGGCATGATAGTGATGATTATGTGTAGCAATAAATGATGTTGATGATTATCATGTTGCTATACATATTTTATTTTTAGATATGCTTTAATAATTTACATGGAGCAATTCATGTATTGACGCTAATATTATTGTCTTTAGCTCCTTTGTGACAATGCTAGCTATAACCATATTGTTTGCTAAATTATAACCATATTTTTAGGGTTGACGACATGGGCATGACATGTTCCGCCATTTCAAAAAAAAAAAGGTATTATATATCATTAAAACTCTCTTAAGTCTTTGCCTTCTATATGATTTCTTAGGCTTTTTGTTCTTTGCGTAATCGATTGACATTGTTGATATATATATATATATATATATATATATATTGCGAAAATAGAAACTGAAATGTAGTATATATTTAAGTGGCTGTAACGACGTTACAAATAAAGTACTATATCAAGATTTAAATGTGGTGTGTGTATATACTATATATATATATCTATCTATATATTCATATGCATAGGTGTAAAACTTGTTTGCTCTAAATATATATTTGTATAGATAACTCGTACCATTCAACTAACAGATTATACGTAGATCGAATGCGCATAATGATTACGCGTGACAAAATGATGAGAAATTAATGAGAAAGTTTAATACTAATAGCTAATCTTCAAAACCACGATCCAAAAGTATATACACTAGATTAATTATAGTTCCCTAAAAGAGAGATTTAAAATTACGATTATTTTACACTTGGTATTTTGGATATGATTTCTTAATTTGTCTCAGCCAATAATAAACTGCAGATTCCTCTAATATATATCTACGTAATTAAGTTGTATGAATTTTTATTCAAAGTTACCACTTCAAACGTAAAACCATTTATATACAGTTGAGTTAGTCATGGTCAAGAAATTTTAATCCAATAGAAATAGGAAATACAGTACAGTTAACATCTATTCTTTCATTTTTTTTTGGTCAAGAAATTAATTTGAATGAGAATAAACTTATTAACAAAAGAATATATACTACGTACCTCCCTAATCATGGATCGTAAAGGAATGTTTCCTAATCACATTGATAATCATATATTATTCACAGTTTTGTTATGTTTAATTCAAGAGATTAGAGGGAAAGACAGATGCACATGGGAAGTAGAAGAGTACGAAAACGCTATGGCAGACCAGGACTTGGCAATTTAAAAAATACTTTGATTTATATTATTTATTATTTTGTCGGCATTTGATAAATGAGAGGCATGATAAAATATAAGAAGGCGTTGTGAATGGTCTGGAGGACCCCAGAAGAAGAAGAAGGAGGACAACGAGAATCCATGGGAATCAATACACATGTTTTTTCTTTCGATTAGCTGTCTTTTATTTTTATTTTTAATTATAGACCAACAAAATTAAAAAAAATTTCCGACAAAACACTCTTTTGCTTATGTTATTAGTATTAGTGTGTTTTTTCCTTTCGTATTGTATTTTAACAAAACATGATTTAAAAGACAAGAAAAAACCCGGTAAAATTATTTCATAATTTAACTTTGAATACAGTATAGTTTTTAAATTTTAACGGTGGATAAAATTGGAAAACAGAAAGAAGAAGAAGAAGAAGCTATGCCAAGTTGGCCTTTGCCCACTGTCTTGGTCGCAATTATTTTTATTCCCCGGGGGGAAAATATGACGCCACCCATGACATCATCCTCTCCCGACAACACTCTTTACGGTCCAACCAATCCCAGCATCCACCTGGCAGCATCGCGTCCGTTCAAACAAACCATCCTTCCTCAATGATGAACTTATTTTTACACGATCCATTATTTAGCCCTTTCTTCCTACGCATCCCACATCCTTCTCTCTCTCCCCTATCTCTCTTGTAACGTTTCTTTTTTTACATAGTTCCCTCCCATAGAAAAAAAAATATATCAAAAGAACCCCTAGAAACTAGAAGCCGAAGAATCTCTTACTCGTTGTCGGATACACCAGATTTGTTACTCGCTGATAATCCTTATAATGATTAATTTCGAGGCGACGGAGCTGAGGTTAGGCCTTCCTGGTGGGAATCACGGTGGAGATATGGCCGCCGTAAAAAATAATGGGAAAAGAGGATTCTCTGAGACCGTTGATCTCAAACTTAATCTTTCATCGACGGCTATGGATTCGGTTTCCGGAGCTCAGCTCGAGGATATCAAGGAGAAAGACGTCGTTAAACCACCAGCAAAGTAAGAAACTTATTAACCTTAACCATATATGATCTCTATTTCAACTTCTCTAGACTCGACAACAAAATACTAGACGGTCGTCATGCAATGATTTAGAGATGGATGCTTTTTAACACGATTACTAGCCTAGTTTAGGGGAACACTCGGAATCATTTATGCAAATGATTCTCGTAAGATCTTTGATTTTTCATTCTTTATTTTGGTTTTACTTCATGTTTCTATTTGATATATATATATATATATAGTCTTTATTTTGTAGTTGATTAATAAAGTATCCTTACATAATTATTAATTAGGTTTAGTGTTCTGTTTGAATTTTCATTTTACTTTTTGTTGGTCGGGAAGAATTAAGAAAAATACAAAACATAAGGAATCTTACTTTATCTACCAAAAAGATTAAATAAAATTTTGGACAACTACAGCCACCTAACATCCGACACGTGTGGAACAACTGGATCATCTAATACAAACATTTTTCACAGAAAAAAAAAAGGAACTAGTTGAAATTAAAATAATATCATTTACGGAATTTCAGGACACAAGTGGTGGGATGGCCACCGGTAAGATCTTTCCGCAAGAATGTCATGTCCGGCCAAAAACCGATCACCGGAGATGCCGTTGAAGGAAACGATAAGACTTCCGGCAGCAGTGGAGCCACTTCATCCGCCTCCGCATGTGCCGCTGCTGCTGCTGCTGCTTACGTGAAGGTTAGCATGGACGGCGCACCGTACCTAAGAAAAATTGACCTGAAACTCTACAAAACTTACCAAGATCTCTCCGACGCCTTAAGCAAAATGTTCAGCTCTTTTACCATCGGTAAAAACAATATCTATATACATATATAGATCTCTACTAATTATAGACATGCATCTATGTTTCTTTTTATTGTATTTAATTTTTATTTTTGAAAATGTTCAGGCAACTGTGGACCACAAGGAATGAAAGATTTTATGAACGAGAGTAAATTGATCGATCTTCTAAACGGATCTGATTATGTTCCAACTTATGAAGATAAGGATGGTGACTGGATGCTCGTAGGAGACGTACCCTGGGAGTGAGTATTCATTCATGATCTATTTCTTTCATTATAACATTGCATATCTCATCTCTACACAATATATTTATTTATTTACGTTTCATTTGGATTACTTATTTTTCAGGATGTTTGTTGATTCATGCAAACGTATACGAATTATGAAGGGATCAGAAGCAATCGGACTTGGTTAGTATTATTAGTTTTAAAAAAAAAAAAAAATTGATTTTGTGTATACTATTATAAGATTTTAGGATTTAATTTTTAATTATTTGCTGATTTTTTAAAAAAATCTATATTGCAGCTCCAAGGGCATTAGAAAAGTGCAAGAACAGAAGTTGAGAGAGTTCTTGACGAGGTTTCTTGTTCTTCTTACCCAAAAAGGAAAGAAAGACCGGTTTTGATCGGTTGGATATCTCGATCTCAAACCGAGAAAAGCCAAACCGGCTCGAAACTATACTGTTCCGAGCAGGGAGTTTGCGTATAAGTAATACTCCAATATTAATATTTGTGATGTATTATTACATTTTAAAACCGTTTTTGTTATATGTATTTATAATAAATATGTATATTTTATTGTTAGGTTGCATCTATTTTCGTACGTTTAACAACAATTTTTGTTGTTTTTACGCATTAATCGTGTTGTCTATATGGTCAGCGTCCGTAAGGCATCTCTTAATGTGTTGTTACTCTGACGTGTCAAATTTCACGTTTACAGTACTTTCTCGTAATTACTTGTTTTGTTTTGCATTGTAAACTCATTATTTCATTTACAACAATTTTGTTTGTTCAGTTTTGATATTATAGTGTGGAGCTAAAGGCAATGAAAAGATTATAAATAATCGTAAAACCCAACAAATTGAAGTTTAACAGTGTCTTCGTATCAATAGAATTTGAAGACCAACAATGAACGAATGTTTGACAATTAAAAAAAGAAACAACAACACACAGAGCGACCCTTAATTTATTTTATAATATTGAGTTACATTTATCATTTTTTTATTGGGTTGAACATATATGAGAAACTTTAATAGAAATCAAGGTAATGTGGGTGGTGGAAATGGGAAAGAGCATGTGGATAATGTAGAGTTGTTGGGGGACAAATATTTTAATGTATTTGTAAATAATGATGTCTTCATTAATATGTATGTGTATGTGCAGTATGTATGCGCTCCATTATTGATGCTTTTACGCTGTCATCTGACATTCATCGCCTCAACTAAACAACGGGCGACAACGATGATATTTGTTGTTTTTAAGTTACTTCTTTATCTAATTTTTTTATACATTTTGATCTTACGTACGTACACTATAGACTCAACAAAGATATATAGTAACTAGGTGCATGGTAATTAAAAAAAAAGAATAAAAATGGCTGCTTACGGAAAAAATATGCTGATAGCAATTCAGAAAAGTGAAAGAAAAAGAGTACAAGATTCTAGAAGAGTTGTTGCACAAAAGAGAAAAGAAAAATAAAAATTCAAGAAGAGTTATAAGACTGAAGACACTTTTAGTCAAATAGATGAAATCAGTTTCACAATAACTGAGTGAGTAGTTGAACTTAGCCAGGAAATGCTGGCGAAGTTTCGGCAAAATATAAATAATCATATCACAAATAAATGACTACCGAGGGTTCATATTGTAACAATATTACTTTTAAATAATACTGAAAAATTGACAAAAAAAAAAAAAAAAAAAAAATTATCACTAACATTTAACACCGACTTACAGTTTTCCGTTTTTTAAGGCTTGTGAGTTGTAACTAATAAAAGCTCGAAGAACAAAAGATTTACAAAAGAACTCGAGAACACGAGAGAACACACAGACAGTCGTCTCAGTTATTCGCTTGTAAGCTGTAACCAATCTGAAAGAGAGTTGATATGGGCTTGTAGGCTCAGTTTCGTTAACTAAACCGTTTGGCCCATTAAACCCACAAACAAACAATTCGAGTTGACTGAAGTCAAAATACTTAGAGGCCTGTATAGGTGTCAAAGTGGGAAATTCATCGGTTGTATTTGTCATCAAATCAAATTATTACAAAGAATTGTCTGGAACCTTTTATTGTTTCCTTACGCACCACGCCACCATATAAGAACTTTTGCGCTGATAATTAAATCTAAAAACAAAATTTAAAAAAATTTCCAAAATTGACAAAATCAAATAGACCGATTATGTCAACTTTGAATGAGTCAAATGAACGAATACTATTTATTATCAACGAGAGCGACTACTCTCGTCTAACCAAAGGTCCAGCCAAGGCTGTTATTTTCTACAAACAAAAACATTCACAATTAGCCGCCTCTCTTCATCAGTCATCATCACCTGTATCTCGATTGTACGAATATACACAATGCTTCGTTGTTTTAAACCGTCCGATTATATGACTTTCACCAGTTAGCTCCTCTTAGTCTAAGAATATCAACGGTGCTTAAACACACATATCCCACCGAAGTCTTATTATACGCTCATGCGTATATATCATAATCATGTATATGGTTAAACACGTTATATCTAACGTCTGTAATTAAATTCAATTGCGTAGAATCACAAGTAAAACATTATTTTTATAATTAACTATATGTTGACTCACAATTACTATATATATAGATAGATTCATTAGACCACCAAGAAGACAAAAACCTATCGATCATGAAGATCAGCCTTAGCATAGTCATCATACTTTTATCATACACGGCGGCTACGGTGGCCGGACAACAATGCGGCCGTCAAGCCGGTGGTCGTACTTGTCCCGGAAACATCTGCTGCAGCCAGTACGGCTACTGCGGCACCACGCCGGAGTACTGTTCTCCGGCCAACAACTGCCAGAGCAACTGCGGGGGTAGCGCACCAAGCGGTTCAGGTGAGAGCGCGAAGAACGTACGCGCCACCTACCATATTTACAATCCGGCGCAGAACAATTGGGATCTGAGAGCCGTCAGTGCTTATTGCTCCACGTGGGATGCTGATAAATCTTACGCGTGGCGGAGCAAGTACGGCTGGACTGCCTTCTGCGGACCGGCTGGACCTCGTGGTCAAGCTTCTTGCGGCAAGTGCTTGAGGGTAAGTTCATCATCTCTCTTGTTTTCTAAACTCATCTTTATAATAAGTTTTTTTCAGTGGAACCAAGACGGATACACATATATACATCTTGATTAATGAAGAGAGATTTCATTTCCAAATCCTTTTCTTAAAACAACATATAATAACTTATTTTAGTACTATTTATCATTTTGGCAGATTGTTTTAATATTTTAGGATCATAGTTTAGTTTGTTTTATATATATAGCCGGTAAAAATAGCTAGTGATTAACCGCGGTGAGTTATAAAATGGATACAGGTGAGGAACACAAGAACAAATGCTGCAGTAACGGTGAGAATAGTGGACCAATGTAGCAATGGAGGATTAGATTTGGATGTTGCGATGTTCAATCAAATAGACACCGATCGTAATGGCTATCAGCAAGGTCATCTCATTGTTGACTACCAGTTTGTTAACTGCGGCGATTAATGAACTCATCCGGCAGCCTGATTCTAAAAACATACAGTGTTTCGGGCACTGATTGCATTTCATATTATGTAATGATTTCGTGATTATATCGGTCTACACATACAATAAACTAATAAAGACTTCTGTATCAAGGATATATGTTATTCGCATCAATAATTACGGATTATTCGGATATTGTTATTATATAAAGATCGGTACTTCTTTGGTAGAGCATATTATTACATATTGAATCAAACAATAAAAAAAAATTAAGGAATTCTAATGGATAAGGTGACCTACATAGAATTTTCCAGGATCAAAATGGCATGAGATCAGATATACAAGATCGATGAAAATATAAATTGTCATGGAACGGGAGTAACGCTCTCTTGGCAAAGACGTGCACGTTTTGACTGAAAAATGGCAAGTTGGTGACTTTTTCTTGTCTTTTATCTGTATCTAGGTATTTTAATTTATTATATTTAGATAACACAAATATTTGTAATACAAAAAGAAGTATCTTCCATAAACTTTTTAAAACAGTTTAAACATTAGTAATTAGATCCTAACTTTTTTGGGTATCCTTTTCAACATTAGTTAAAAGGAAAAGAAAATTTCAACAGCCATGTAATCGACCTAGAAACGTCTACATGAGAATAGTAAGTACATTGTATAATGAACTCAAAGCCAAAGAGAATCATACACAACGGTCAAAACATTTTATTAGGCTAAACTAGTCATGTGTGTATATATAATTTCTATAAATATTAGAGTTTCATCCATTCTTTGTCCAATCAATCACATATTTAAATTAAACAAAACTTAGAAACAACGTATAGATAGATAGAAAGAATGTCAAGACTTAGCATATGCATGCATGTTTGTGTTGCTATGTGCGTTTGCGGCCAAAGCAGCCGCTCAATCCGCGCCTAGCGTATGAGCAACTTATCATTTCTACAATCCAGCACAAAACAACTGGGATCTCTACCGAGTAAGTGCGTATTGCTCGACGTGGGATGGGAACCAACCGCTTGAGTGGCGTTAGAGGTACGGCTGGACGCTTTCTCGTGACTCTTGCGGTAGATGCTAACGAGTAAGTCATTTTTATCTCTTTCAGAAATAACGTTTTGAAGCAAACGTCTTTTTGCACGTGTCATACATCCTATTTCATTTAATGCTTTTTAGCGTTTAAAATGTAACATTATTAATTAATAACCAAAAACAATAAAACGCAAACACAGGTGACGAATATTGCGACAAGACACAAGCGACGGTAAGCATCATTGATCAATGTAGTAACAGCGGTTTGGACTTAGAGGAAGGCATTTTCAAGCAGCTTGATACTAATAGTGAAGGATACGCTCGTGGGCACTTGACTGTCAACTACGAGTTTGTCAAACTGTTGAAGGTCTTCAAATTCATCTATTAATCTTCAAGTTCATATAGTATCTCCTTATTAGACATAAATATGTTAAAAAGATAAATATAAATGTCCCCAAGTCTTATCTTTCATAATACTAATAAAGATAACCGAATAGAATAATGAAAATTAATACAGTAAGTCGGTTCAATATAAAACAGGTTCGAAGTAATTGAGTAATACAGTAATCTCAAGAGCTCAACGGATTAATCCTCCGTACGTTTCCTGTTTGGCCACTTGGTTTGGTGTCTTCCAGTAATCGTTACTGGTTGTATTGTTTTTTGTTGTCTGGTTTCAGGTGTTTCTCATATAGGAGGCACCATTGCTGTAACCGTTTCTTTTATGAATGAAGGTATGTATTAATTTAAAAAAAAAAAATAAAAAAACAGGTTCAAATATTTGCATCCGTGAGATATACGCTAACACACGTAGCTTTACCTTTAGATGTTTAGAAACTGCGAGATATAGTATTACATATGATCAGTATTTTAATAATTGGCTTGAAATGTTAGCCTTAGATGTTAAAATCAGTAGTTTTAATTTCATGAATATATTGATCTGATTTGTGTTATCTCTCCCTCTTTTTTTTTTTTTTTTTGGTATTTACACTGAATTATAGCGCCTAATTAAAGACTAAAGAGACATAACATATATAAACATGTGTCCCCTCTAATAAATGCTAAATCTTATCACCCTCAAGAACTTCCAATTTCCACCACAAATCTTGAAAAAAAGCCGCCATAGACATCTCCCGAGACTAGCCATCCATTGAAAATTCAAACTCGAACAAAATTATTCACAATATGACAAACTCTTTGGTATGTATAGCAATTTGTTCATTCTTTAAAAAAAAAAAACAATTCCCTATATATTTGTTCGTCCATCTTTGATTTGATATATCACAACCTATTTTAAAAGAACAAAGATATAAAGACAGCCAATGGCAAGACTTAGCATATGTATGTTTGTTTTGCTATGTGCATTTGCTGCTAAAGCATATGCTCAAACCGCTTCTAATGTAAGAGCAACTTACCATTATTATCATCCCGAGCAAAACGGTTGGGACCTTTACAAAGTAAGTGCCTATTGTTCGACATGGAAAGGGAACCTACCGATCGAATGGCGTAGGAAGTACGGTTGGACAGCTTTCTGCGGTCCAACTGGACCGCGAGGCCGTGATTCTTGTGGAAGATGCTTAAGGGTATGTCACTCAATCTACAAAACTCGCGCTTTTACAAAACCCACTTACACAAATATATAGTATGATGTTTCACGTTTCATGTATCTTATATCAACTTATAAGCCATATATATATACAAACGCAGGTGACGAATACTGCGACGGGAACACAAGCGACCGTGAGAATCGTTGATCAGTGTAGTAACGGCGGTTTGGACTTAGATGACGGCGTTTTCAAGCGGCTTGATACTAACGGTCAGGGATACGCTCGTGGACACTTAATTGTTAATTACCAGTTTGTCAACTGCTAAAGATCTTCAAGTTCATCCAGTCACTGCCTTGCGTCTTATTATTTACCGTCTTTCATAAACTTTAAGATAAAATAAATTAATATCACGATTTCGGTCTTTAACAATATAGATAAATCTACAATTGTATGTTTGAGAATTGTATGTTGTAAGTTACTATGAAATAAAATTATAAATGAATATAGTATTTACTTTATATAATAATGAAAATCAGTTCCAAGAATCACTTTATTTTTTTTGTAAGAAAAAAAAAATCCATTTCGAAAAGTTGTCACAACAAAATCTAAAAAACCCACACAATTAGGTAATATTGTTTTCCTTCTTTTGATAATATCATATATTAATCCTAAAGTTACAGGGTTTAGTTAATTATTATTTTTTCCAGATTCGACTTGAGTATTTATTCAAATCTTATAATTGGATTTTTTTTTTTTAGGATTTGATAATATCAGATAGTAATATATATATTTCCCTTTGATTAAATCAGATCTTAGACGGAGTGGAACATGTTTCCTTTCCCAAGTTGAAACAGGAGTCAGGAGTGAAACAACCAACATAATTAGGTCTTATAAATAGATTATATGGCACACCATTACTGAACCATTGCAAATTTCGTTTTCTTATTTGTCCAAGTAGAAGAAAATCAAAGAGAGATCGAATCAAAACCTAAGACAGCTAGCTACTGTTACTATGAGGAAGATGACTAGAGAACCTCTGGGTGTTGCCGAGTCTTCTTCATTGAAGCACGTCTCTTTTCTTGGCAGAGGGGGCTTTGGCTCTGTCTCTCTCGAACGGGATTCTAACTTCCGACTCTACGCTAAAAAGTCATCTTCGTTCAGTCACTTGAAATATCTCGACAAAGAGCGTAAGATAATGCTTTATTTCAGCGATCATCCTCGCATCGTCCAGGTCTCAAGCCCTCTTCTTCACTTAAAGACACAACCAGAAGGATGTCACATCTATATGGAGTTTGCCTCCAAAGGCACTCTCATCGATATGATTACACGGTTTCGTGGGATACCAATGCCTGAGAATATGATCGGACGTGCTGCTCTTATGATCCTACAAGGACTCGACGCTCTTCACTCACACGGCTACGTTCACTGCGACCTCAAGCCAGACAACATCCTCGTCTTCCCTTCCACCACTTCTGGAGAGCCATGGGAACTTAAGCTTGCTGATTTTGGTTCATCTAAAGAGCCTTGTACGGATCCTAGGTCGTTATTTCCTGGTACGTTGCACTACATGCCGCCAGAATCTCTTGGAGCGGACTGGGTGATGGGATCGTCTGCCGTTGATATATAGTCTCTAGGGTGTATGGTTATTGAGATGTTTGGAGGTTGTCCAGTGAAGGTGGGAGAATGTTACATGTGGAGGCTTCCCAAACTTGTATCTCCAGTGGCCAACGACTTCTTGAAGCTGTGTTTGGCGTTGCAGCCGTCACGTAGGGCCACAGCGGCCGAGCTGTTGAGCCATCCTTTTGTTGCGCAAAGAGACAGTGTTCCGGTGACAGAGATGCTTCCATATCCTTCTTTCTTAAGGTTTCCTTCCTCCATAATTGACCAAGTTGTGGAAGAAAATTCTAGATTACAACGAGGAGTGATGGTTTGAAGACCTCAAGGAGTCTCATGTCACGGCAGCTGTTTTGGGTTCGATAGTTTAGGAGTCCTATCTTAGGTTCTGTCGAGTTTGGGTTTTTAACTTGTTTCCCACCGTCCCATGGTGTTAGTGTTAGAATTGATTTTTTTTTTCCTTTTTCAGTGAATGTGCTAACTCCTAAAGTTTGGGCACCTTCACGTTAACATTTTTATCTTTTATCGAAGATTGTTTCAGTTAAAATATAATAAAATCATCTTTACGTTTAAATGTTACGTTGTGGTTAAACACTATGGTTTTCCGTATGAGGAAAACTTGACCATTGGAATTGACAAGATCATGTTATAAATCCAAGAACTAGAAGTCTATACATTTTTTTTAAGTTAGAAAAACACTATGGTTGTCCGTATGTTCTTCCGTTCTGCTTTGGTTGACTCTACTTGATATGTCTTCATGCTCTCTTTTTTTTTTGGGTTATATCATCTTCATGTTGTGATATACGAATCATGTGAAATGCTTGTTATACAAATGTTGAATGATATATACTACTTACCAATTTACAATACAGAATCTGGAAAACCCCCAAATCTCTCTGTTTTTCAATGATTTAACTCCAATGAAATCACATAAACTTTCCAGTTAGGGTTGACAATATAAAAAATCCGACAACAAACACAACTACTTCAATCCTAAAATTTTCAGTACATTAAAAATAAGCAAGTGCATAAGGGACAAGAAAGATAAGAAGTAAGAACTAAGAAGCAGATCAAAACTTCGTACAGATACTAAATAGACTCGAAGATCTTATGATTTCGCCTTAACCTCATCCCTGCCGTGAAACTTCCTTCCTGCATCTACAGCTTCTCTGTAGAAGAAAAGAAGCAAAATAAAAACTATCATTTATCTTGAAATACATATTGAAAACATAACATCATAAGGGCTTCTCACAAACCTGAAAGCATCAACGAGCTCCTTGCTTTCAGGGCTAAGCAATACTCCCTCGTAAAAAGCATTGGCTGCATCCTCAAATCGCTGGGGATTCATGATAAAAACTGGTGAACCATACAGTTTCAACAATGATTAAAGATCAAAGCTTTTTAGTGGAGATACAAATGGATTTTACCTGTAGCAAACGCAGAGCAGCGCCTTCTCTGAAACAACCCTTAGGCCAATCCGGTTTTAGTTCTCTGCAGGCTTTAGCATCAGATAAGGCTTGCTCAGCTTGTCCTAACCGCAACCAGCAGAGGCTTCGGTTTGAGAATAAGGTATGATCCGTTGGGTCAAAATCAATTGCCTATGTCCACACAAAATGCAACGAAATCACATACAGGCCTAAATTAAGAATCTTGTTTGGTTTTAGAAGAAGTTTTAGAGTTGAATACTTGTGTGTAAGCGTCAATAGCCATCTGGAAATCTTTTCTGTGAAAGGCGTCTTGTCCTCTTGCTTTTGCTTCTGCAGCTTTCGCCTTTGCTTCTGGGGAGACCTGCAGAAGTGAAAAATGGTAATCTTGAAGTACTCAAAACAATTCAATGTAAGAGAAATGTATATATCAATCAACGTATGAAGTACCTCGGGAAGATCTTTCTTGATCCCGGTCTCTCCGGATTTCGCGTTGTTTGAGTTTTCCTCTTGTTCCTGAAAATGTTTTAAGTTGTTTCAGACAAGATAGATCAAAGTTTTCGGGACTAAAAACCAAGAGAGATCTAATAAAACATACTTTGTTTGCTTTCATGTGAGCGAGAATTCCATCTACTGTCCAGTCCGAAACAGATTCGAGTTTTGTTGTCAACGGGAAGAGGATCTCAACAACCTTTCTGTTGTCTCTAGCAGCCGCAACCTCTATTGGCTTATTACCTTCCTGAAAATAATCGAGTTTACGGTAAAATCAGCAAAGTTAGGCAAGAATTATTTCATGTTGGATCAAATGAGCAAGAAAGTTAGGTTTTTTCTAATCAACTGCTTTCCAAGTTGGTTTTACCTCGTCTTTCTGATTAGGATCAGCCCCGGCTTTAAGTAAACAGTTAATTAGCTCAAGGTTTCCAATATCAGCCGCAATGTGCAATGGAGTTGCACCACCAGCAAAAACGTTAGCTTTGGCACCTGCCTGTGATTAAGAAAAAAACATTTTTTGAGTTAGCTCTGAATTAAGATGCTTGGCAACAGAACCAACACAATACTAGATATTAAGATGACATACCTTGACCAACAACTCTAAGCAAGCTAGAGAACCCGCAGCCACTGCAGATAACAACGGAGTGATATCATCTTCAGTCTCAGCATTAGGCTGCAGAATCACCAAACAAAAATAAACTTAAAGGTTTATAGGAAAGTACGGTTCCAGATGGATGATCAAATAGAGATAGACAAAAAAGTTTACATTGGCCTTGTGTTCTAACAAGACTTCCACAGCATCTTTTTGGTCGTGGCCAGCGGCCCAGATTAATGGCGTCCCAGATTCACTTTCAGAGTCAACAGGGACACCTCTGGAAAGCAATTCCTTTAGCAACTCGATTTCTCCTAATAAATGTAAAGAGAAGACATATAAGTAAAACAGAACACTGCATGACTGGACAATGTTGAAATGAATTTAATAGCACCAACCTGTCCCAGCTGCATGATGCAATGCTGTGGCTCCTAGTTCACTTGCTATATTAGGATCAGCTCCATGCTCTAAAAGATACTTTGCCGTTCCAATCTGTCCTTGCCTCGCAGCATGAACAAGCGGAGTATCTCCTGCAAAGCCATAAGAATCTCACAGATCAAGTTTCAAATTAATGAGTTTGGGAATAGCAAAGTTCTGCAATTGTATAAATAAAGGAAACACAAACCAGTTTCATCCTTTGCATCAGCATTGAGTTTCAGCTCTTCTAAAAGATATCTGCATATTTCAGTTTGTCCTTCTCTTGCAGCAAAGTGAAGAGCTCCACGTTTGTTTGCGTCTTTAATACTCTCCACAGTTTTTGTCAAGTCTTTTCCTTCATCAAGCTGCTTAGCAACCTCTGGTTGGAGAATTGATATCAGTAGACAAAACAAATCACTGCTTAAAGAACATTGAGAAACAAATAGTAAATAAAGAACTCACTCTTAAGGAATTCAAGATTCCCTGTACAAGCTGCATTCAGGAATTGCTGAACTTTCTCCCTCGCTAGAGCAGGAATTCAAAAAAAAAAAACAAACAAAAAAATTAGTGCTCAACTTTATCCCTCGCTACAAAACTTATACTCTCCCACCAAGTGTTCAACTTCAATTCTTATCTTCGTTTACCCCAAGTCAGAGCCAATCCATAATTTTTGATTGAAATTGATACAAATTTTAGATCAGTATTTTTGTTTCTAAAGTTTCAGGTATGGCTATGGCAGAAACATATAGGAAGAAGAAAAGGCAGCAAAGGAAAAAAAACAAAAAAAAAACGAAACTTGTTCATCAGATCAATTCAGCTAAAGAAAACTAAGAGAACCCATCAAGAAATCTAGAATTCATACGCATTCAAATACAGAGATGGATACATCATTCAAAATATATAGTAGCAGGAAGAGAGCAGACCTGCAAGAGCAGTAGAAGCATCAGGAGCCATGGCAGATACAGAGCCCTAGCTTGTTTCTTGGATAAGTTGACGAAACTTGGAAGTAGGTTTTGATGATATCTCAGTTAGTTTCCTTCGTCTATACCGGAGTTTGTGTCTGATTATCAGAAATCTGAAGAAGCTCGGAGGCTCCTAGGTTTTAAGAAGATTCCAGAGGTGTTTTTTTCCCATGTTTTGATAGATTTGAATTTTATACCCTCATATATTTAACTATTGCGAAACACACCCAATAATTTATTTTTTTAGCCATACACACCCGATCTATCAAAATTCTCCAACTTTTTAAAACGCCAAAGTTGCAAATTTTATCGTCTATAGGTTCCGGCGGGTAACTTGTAATTTTACAAAGAACTGTAAATACAAAACTATAAGAAAAAGTCGATTATCTAAAATAGTTCATTTTATTTATCCAATTGCAAGATCATGTTGTAATTTTTTTATACAACTCATGAACAAGAGGTTTTCCTTTTCTTCTTATGTTCCTTTGCACAGTATGTATATACAAAGCCATAATCTTCTTCTTTTTCTTTTTTTTTTTTCTCAAATTTTCTATCTTGAGGATCCTAATTATAAAGGATCTGTTGCCTATCTCTCAAAAGAAAATATGAATGATTGAAGCTAACAATCACATATACACTTTTCAATAAGACTGCATAACCGAGCATGCAACCGCTTGTGCCCAGTGTCTCAATCTTTGCTTCATTTGTTGAGGATCATCCCCTACCAAGAAAAGAACCGATAAGTCATTAAATTAAACTCATGATTTTAAACATGTATAATAGTTTTCTTATATCTAAAATCTAATACAAGAAATATGAGTTTTTAACCTTTAATTACCTGGACGTAAGATCTTTATTGAATCTGAATCAGATTTTTTGGGACTACAAGGTATACTGTTAGAGAAAGTTGATGCAGATGCGCTACTGCTACGGCTGCTGCTAGGTGAAGGGAGAGGTGAGACCTGACGGTTCACTGCAAAGTAAAGATCGAGAGCTGGTAACGTATTGCATAGTTTTTGTCCTGCTTCTTCATTGAAACCGAAACCTAGCTCAATCGATCCTTTAAGCTCGTTTAAGTCCTCATCTGTTAGCTTCATTTGTACACTAAGATTGTCTGAAACGCCTTTATGAAGTAGCTTTTTTTCTTGAATTATTATCATCTGACGTCTTCTTCTTTCCCAAGCAACGTCTCGTGGAGTTTCACACATAGAAAGTTGTTTTGATAACCGTTGTTTTGGTTTATGTGAGGCCGTTGGTGTTGTCTTTGTTGTTGTATTGACTTCGGGAAGCTTCGATGTCAAGATTGGCAATGTAAGGCCTTCTCTTCTTCTCACCATTTTTTTTGGTTTCACTTATTGCGTATATATATAAGCAGAATGACTGGAAGCTAATATATGTTATGAAGAGGTGGCTTGTAATTGAAAATTCGGGTTCTTCTTTTTGATTTTGTTACCTCTTTAATAACTAGAGATTATCAAAGCTAAGGGCTTTGAATCTTGTAAATGTATATGTATGTTCTTTGTCTGATGGCCGCGTGCGAACATATTACGCGGCCAACAAAGAGGTTATAATGGGTCGGGTTGATCAGATATCTTCTTTATGCTCTTCTCTAGTAGGATTTAGCCCAACCCGACCAGATAAACTTTGAGAAGACTCAAGGTGCTTTAATGGAGTATATCAAAATAATTTCCACCACTGATCTAGGCAATGGATATAGGTCAAAATCTATTTTCCTCCATTGTTTAAATTTGATGATCGACTCATCCATATTTTTAGGGACTTTCTTTGTTTAGATCCTTGACCATTCTAAGAAAAGAGTTTCCGAATGTATTAGTATATCTCGATCAAGTTAAAATTTCAAAAGTTCGTAATATTGTTTGAAACATTATGGTTTAAGAATCTCTATATTTAGATTAAACAAATTCATGTTTTAGTAGAAGGGAAAAAGTGTTCGAATCTACTATAACAATATGCTAAACATAGCTTGTTCGAGTAATCCTCCTTGTCCTTGCCATGAATTTTCTAAATACTTTTGTTTCTCTTTAAGACAAAACAGCAAATAATGAGAAACAAACTATCTCATAGTAGAGAAACCGAACTAAACAAAATAGAAAGAATAGAAAAGTGTACTTTAAAATTCTTATCTTGCCTGGTTTTTGCTTCTTGTTGATCCATGCAAGTCTTGTTAGGAGTTATATAGTTAGGTTTATAAAGAAAATAAGAAATGAAGCTTCTAATTTGTTTATTTGTTTTACGCCTGTAAGACCATTCTTACAAAAGAAAGAAAAACAATTCCTAGAGCTTGAGAGTGATAACAGTGGAATATTCTCTCAAATAGTAAATCCTAAAAGACGATAAGGTAAAATTTTCAATATTCTTTTGCGTAAAACTTGGTGTTAAGATCTAATTTTTTTTTTGTGTGTGATTTGACAGAAAGGAAGGTGGACAAAAATTTGAACATAATGTTATTTGATGGTTTTTATTTACTTAATCAAAAAAATGTATCAGGATTTGTAGTTAGAAATTTAGAATTATTTTTATGTAATATTTGTCCGATAAGATCAATTTTTGCTTCTTTTTTTTTTTTGGTTTCTTTGTTGTTTATTGTTGTGATACGAATAAAATGGCAAATCTAAACCGGAATTAAGGTGTTTCCCAATTTTACCCTTATCAGAAAAAAGGAAATAAAAATCCACAATAAAAGCGATATAACCCTAAAGTAAAAACGATTTCAGTTTTAAATCTGTCTCTCCGACAAACACGACGCTTTCGTGAATCTCAACCTCCTTCTTCTCGTCGCCGTCGAATAGCCGTTCATACTTTCGCCGCCGTTGGTCGTCTCTCCATTGACCCGTGTTGGTAATTTATCTTTTCTTGGCTCTCTCTTTTTTCGTTTGTGGGTATTGAAAATAGTGGCTCTCTCGATTTAGATATTATCTTCCTCTGTTACTGATGTAGCAAAGTCTGCATCTTTATCCTCTGTTTCCTTTTTTAATTGATCGTACTTGTATCATAGGCTGAAGAAGGAAGAAGAGCAATCACTGGCGCATGCGTAATGATTGCAGAGAGCTCCTATTACTCCGAGTGAAGGTCTGAGCAGGGTGAGGCAGTTGTCTCTTACCCCGAGTGGAAGCAATGGCTTACGGTGGTCCGTCCATGAATCCACCGGCTATGACTGGCGCAGTTCCCGGGTCTGGTAATCTGAAGCAAGTGAAATTGGAGAGAGAAAGCGAGCTCAGGATCGAAGTCTCTGAGGAGCCTCTCAGACTCCGTGTCGTGAACGGGACGGCTGAGATTTTCGGCTCTGAATTGCCTCCTGAAATCTGGCGTACGTTCCCTCCTCGCCTGAAATTTGCGGTATGTTTTTTTTAAACCTGCGTTGGCAAGAATTATGCATATATGCCTAATAGATACAGTGAGCTTGTTGGTAATATATTTGGGTTCTGGGTTTTGTTGTTAGAAAATAAAGAGTCTTTCTTGGTTTGGTGTAAGTTGTTGTAAATCTCTCTTGAAGTAAGTTCTTGAGTTGCTATGTCCACCTTCTGCCCTTTTGGGGTTGGAAAGGTACATCCTTTGGCAGTGAACTTTGATGGTATTTGGGTTTGGGTTGGATGAAAGATTTAAGATTTATGTGATCACTGTTAATTAAGCTGTATAAAGGTTGATGATTGCCCAATTTCGTCCTGTTTTATTTTTCTCCTTGTGCTACTGATTTATGTAAAGCTTAAGAACATAGCTCTGGACATCGTGCTTACCGTTGTGCCTTTTGATTATTTTTAGGTGTTCACCTGGTATGGAGCAACAATTGAGATGGATGGTGTCACGGAAACCGACTATACAGCAGATGAGGTTGGCTTACTTGTTTCCATTCCCACGCTTCCTTTAGATATATAGAGCAACCTCTGACAACTAACAATGTCTCCGTTTCTAGACACCGATGGTTAGCTACATTAATGTGCACGCTATACTAGATGCTAGGAGACGTTTTGCCAAAGCTTCCACATCCAATGATCCAGAATCTTCTCAGGTACTTTTCCTCGATAATCATGTTATTGTCTTGTGATATCAGCAAAGTTAAAACACTTGGTTCTTAAGAATTCACGTAAAGCAGGGACCTCGGGTTATTGTAGTAGGGCCTGTCGATTCCGGGAAGAGCACATTAACAAAGATGCTTCTTAGTTGGGCAGCTAAACAGGGGTGGAAACCTACATTTGTAGACCTTGATGTTGGCCAAGGATCAATTACAATACCGGGATCAATTGCTGCTAGCCCTATTGAAATGCCACTGGATCCAGTTGAAGGTTTTCCTCTTGATATGGCCCTTGTATACTACTACGGCCACATATCACCTAGGTAAGTGATTTTCTAATTTCTCTTCCCCATCATACGTTATTTCAGTCAGTGTGTAACCCTAAATACTGTCTGTGGTGGCTTCCTTAGTGTGAACACTGAACTGTACAAAGCCCTGGTGAAAGAGCTTGCTCAAATTCTGGAGAGACAGTTTGTCGGAAACCCTGAATCTCGAGCTGCTGGAATGGTGATCAACACAATGGGATGGATCGAGGGTCCAGGTTATGAGGTAAAAGTTAGCTCCGTTTTTAGTGGATATTTCTTTGTGCAAACATTTGTTAAAGAAGTGTATTTGCGTTGTTTTGCAGCTGCTTCTCCACGCAATAAACACATTCAACGCCTCTGTTGTACTTGTATTGGGTCAGGAAAAACTCTTCAGCAGGCTTAAAGATGTCCTTAGAAATAAGAGTAATGTTGACGTCGTGAAACTTCACAAGTCAGGTGGAGTTGTAGCCAGGCCCAAAGAATTCCGTCAAAGTTCAAGGACTTCTAGGATTCAGGTAAATATTATCAGCCTCGAAACTTTTAAAATCTAATTGTCATGCCTTTGGAAGTGAAACTCAGAACTAGAAAACTCAATATTTCCAGGAATATTTTTACGGTCTATCGAAAGAACTCTCTCCGTATGCCAATACATCGAGTTTCAGTGATCTGCAAGTGTTCCGAGTTGGTGGTGGACCACAAGCTCCAAGATCAGCTCTGCCAATCGGGTCTGACAGGGTTTCAAATCCGTTGAGGGTGACGCCTGTGAATATGGATAATCGGGATCTGCTCCATTCTGTGCTGGCTGTCTCATACGCAGAAGAGCCAGACCAGATTGTGTCAAGGTAATATCTAAACGTGCTTGCTGTTTCCAAAAGAAAAAGCTTTTGGTTTCTTTTAATGTTTTTTTGATGTTTAATTCTTTCAATGTGGTTGGAATGATGCGCAGCAATGTATCTGGGTTTGTATATGTGACGGAAGTTGATATACCGAGGAAGAAGATAACGTATTTAGCACCATCGCCAGGGACATTACCAAGCAAGTTGTTGATCGCGGGATCTTTGTCATGGCTTGAGTCAGCGAAGTGATTCAGTTATGTAACTTCAAATTTACAAGATAGCCTCTCTTCTTTCTTTCTTTTTTTTTTTCCCCTATAAACAAAATGCATAAAGGTTTTCTGAAAGAGTTGGGAGTTTAAAAAGATGATTTTGTTGTGGATTAGAGAGATTAGATTGGGGTTTGTATTTTGTAATTTGATACTATTAAGAAAGTGGGAATCCAAGATAATGTTAAAATGTTCAAGTGCAGCGGTAGTTATATACACTGTATTTATTAGGTCCAGCAAATATTCAAGTTGTGTGATGCGTAAAAAGCATTTGAGGGGTTATTAGAAATATAATTTTATGAGTTGATTAGTGTGTTTTCTGGTCGGGTGATTTGTTAAATTTTTTTTATTCTTGTAGTAAAAAACTATGTAGAAAAATTGGTAAGAAGATAGATTACCTTGGACTTGGATGCATTGGAAAATGGTTAGTAATAGTATAATAATAAAAAATTAAAAAGTCACACGTTAATTAGTTGTTTTTGTGTTGTAATTGAAGTAAAATGGCTAAATTATAGATTCACATTTCAAAAGCATACTACCAATCTCTCTATGTATTGTGTTGACTAGCTAGCTCTCTCTAAACTAAAAAGAATAGGATCCGAAGAATGTTACAGATGTGTTTTGTCTATGCAAGAGATTTACTGTATTAATCTGTTTTATGATTTTATCCTTAGGAATATATATTAGAAAAATAGGAAAAGAAGATTGCAAAAATAAAAGTAAAACAACAAACCGATGAGAGAGAGAGGGAGAGCTTTTTTTAGTCAACAGTCGTGATAAAACATGCTTAGAGTGGGAGAGACGACCAAATGAGACTTTTAGGATACGTGTCGATATCTCTACCGTTTATCTTTTTTCTTATTCCAAAATTATTAAATCTCTTCTCGTCGAGAGAGAGACGACACAATAGGTCCCACCGCATTGGACTTCCTTTATTTTTTTTCCTTTTCCATTTTATGGGAATCGAGAAATAGTTTTCATTATTTTAATAATATATATACAAATGGGAATATGTAACATAGTAGAAGCGTTTCTTTTTTTTTTACTGGCCAATGTCAAAACAAAATAGTTTAATTAAATGAAACAAAAAAGGTGTAAACTCAAGAGGATGGATGACTTTAAAGATCTTTGCTTTTAAAAAAAATATATATATAGCCGATTTAATCAGAAGAAAGAAAACATTATGGTTTAAGAGTTTATTCATTTAAATAAAAAAAAATTGCACGAAAAATATACTGATATAAGTAGGTATAAAGTAGGTCCACTAAGTAAGACCCACCTCGAAACTCTCTTTAAGAGAGAGAAAGAGAGAGAGACTCTTTGTTTCTTTTCCTTTTTTCTTTTTCTCTCTCTCTCTCTCTCCTCTGAAACTGCGAGACGACAACAACACCTCTCTTCTTCTGTATTCCAAGCTCTCTTTTTTTCTTTCTTATGTGTTTGGTTTTTTCTTCTTTTTTTATAAAGGAAAGAAATTTCAAAATTGGAATTTGGTCTCCTTTCAAAAATGTGAATAAACGAAGTTAGACATGTTTTTTTTTTTTTTTGAAATATATAGGTGTGGAGGGGGGTGGGGGTTATTTTTAAGTAAGAAAAAGCAAAGTCTAAACTCTTCCCCCCCCCCCACCCACAAAGTGGAGCAAAAGCTAAAGTCATAACCTTTGACACTTTTCCCCCTTTTTTTATATTATTTTTCATTAATCTCTCACCCATCTCTTTATTATCTCTCTCTCTCTCTTGCACAAATAAACAAACAAGACAAATCTTTCTTTATTTTTATTTTTATCCTAAACATATATTCTCTCTTTGCTTACTGTATGTATTAGCTTAATTTGTATCTTCCTTAGGTTTTTTTTTTCTCTCAAAAAAATCTCATTTCTCTTTTCTCCCTACCTTCTCAATTTTCCTCCTCTTTTCTTAACCTCTTCCCTTTCTTTTTTGTTTTTCTTTGTCATGTGAGCTGCTAATTTTATCTTCTTGGTGTTCAAAAAGATCTCATCTTTTACTTTGCAACTCTCTTTCTTCCCAAGTTAATTCCAGGAGGCAAAAAAACTCACGGTGTTTGGTTTCTTTCTACGTTTCTTAGGGTTTGTCTTCTGGTTTTCTCACGCTCCTTTGATTTCATCTTTTTTTTTAGCTGCTTTTCATTTAATGTCCTATATATAAATAATCTGCCTTAGTTTTCCTGGAATTTAGATTTTGAGATCTTTCCTTTTATAGCTTCCAAGAGCCTTGTCTAGTTTTATTAGTATGATTCTCTCTTGGTTTATAGGAGAGAGATTGATTGAGCTTGTCTATTGAGAAAGATTTAGGGCTTTTTCTTTTGTTTCTCTGATCTGGAGTTTGGGTACAAGACCAAGAAAAAAAAAATGGAGGAAGTTGAAGCTGCAAACAAATCAGCTATAGAAAGCTGTCATGGAGTGTTAAACCTCCTTTCTCAACAGTCCAGTGATCCCAAATCCTTAATGGTTGAAACTGGAGAAGCAGTTTCCAAGTTCAAGAGAGTAGCTTCTCTGTTGAGCAGAGGGTTAGGTCATGGCAAGTTTAGGACTATCAACAAGTTTAGGTCATCTTTTCCTCAACACATCTTCTTGGAGAGCCCTATCTGCTTTGCTAATGATGATTACACTCAAGTTCTTGCCCCAGAGCCTCTTCAGATGGTTCCTGCTTCTGCTGTTTTTGATGGTATTGAGCCTAAACACCGTATGGCCCATCCTCCTCCATTGATGCTTAGTCACAAAATGTGTGTTGACAAGTCGTTTCTGGAGTTAAAGCCACCGCCTTTTCGTGCCCCATATCAGTTAATCCACAACCACCACCAGATAGCCTACTCTAGGAGCAATAGCGGTGTAAACCTTAAGTTTGATGGTTCTGGTAGCAGTTGCTATACCCCGAGCGTGTCTAACGGATCAAGATCGTTTGTCTCATCTCTTAGTATGGATGCCAGTGTAGCAGACTACGATAGGAACTCCTTCCATTTGACTGGATTATCCCGCGGGTCTGACCATATATCGCAGCATTCCCGGAAGATGTGCTCCGGTAGTTTGAAATGCGGAAGTCGAAGCAAATGTCATTGTTCCAAGAAAAGGTTTGTCATTTTCTTTTGTGGCAATGTGACTGACCCTTTTAATTTGTTTTGGTATCTCTTTGTTAAATGTTTGTTTGATCTTTTACAGGAAACTGAGGGTAAAGCGATCAATCAAGGTCCCTGCAATCAGTAACAAGATTGCAGACATTCCTCCGGATGAGTATTCATGGAGGAAATATGGGCAGAAACCGATTAAGGGTTCACCGCATCCACGGTATATATACATCTTTTGATGCAATCATGCAAGGAAAACTTGATGTCGATTTGATATAAGTTCCTTTTGGTTTTGTTTTGTTTTTTTTTTTTCTGGTTGCAGGGGATACTATAAATGCAGCAGTGTAAGAGGTTGTCCAGCGAGGAAGCATGTGGAGCGATGTATCGATGAAACTTCGATGTTAATTGTAACTTACGAAGGTGAGCATAATCATTCAAGAATATTGTCTTCACAATCAGCTCACACCTGACGAAACAGAGTCGGTGCTTGTCCTTTTTTTTTTTTTGCGTCTACTCTTGGATTTGAAGAACAATGAATTAGATTCAAGAAACCGGTCTTTGTAGCTCTGATTTGCAATTGTATATTCCACTTTGACATGAGTTATAAGAGCACTTGTGAACTCGGATTCTGTAGCAGTACAAAGAAACATGACAATTCGGCTTCAACCGAGCATTTTCTTAGATTTATGCCACAATATATAAGGTTTATAGCATCATAGATCAATCGTGGTTTATCCCCCACATATACCAGGCAACAAGGATGTCTGAAAACGTGCCAAAACAACTGTTGTCCGAGATCTTAAAGGAAAGGCGATACCAAATGATTCAACTAACATTTGACAGAAACATAGGACTCTCTACATGATCCAAGTACACTTTGAGAAAAGAAAAGTTATCTCCAAGTCATTCAACCACAACTTTTTTGGCCTCGTTTCTGTTGAGATCAAAACTGATCAAATGGACTGGTTAATGGGACTGGTGGGTGCAAATATAAGCTCGCCGGTACTAAGTGTACCCCTGAGCTCGAAGGAAACATTCCCAGCTAGATCTTCCCAAGAAGGAATCGGGATATAAGATGTTGACCATTTTGTTTTGCTGGCATCTTCCAGAACCCAGAGGTACAGGTGAAGTGTATAGTTAGACTGCGTGGCTGAAGTCAAAGCTATCTTTCCGTTGTAGTTGACTAGTAGTAGGCTTCGCAAGAACCTAACCTCATCAGGTAGCTTAATGACGTCGAAGTCTTCAGAATTCAGATGGAAGCATATCAAAGATCCTTCACCTCTGATCCAAGCGTAATAATAAAGAACCCCATTTATGCATATTCCTTTAGTAGGAGAAGGAGGAAGATGAGGATGATGGAAATCCTTATGACAACACTAAAGAGTAAAGACTGTCATACAGTTGTATACACTTTTGCTATCTCCATTGATTTTTGCAGAGCCTAAACAAAACTTTCATAAAACTAGACTAATTCAGCTGCTTTCTTTTGAATTTTTTCATAGAGCATCTCAAACCGGTCATGGTTTTGCCACCACAGAAGAAGGCTGAAGAAGGCAAGTGGAAAGCTGAAGACACCATAAGCTTTCCAAAACTTCTTTGCATCAATGTCTCTTGCTTCTTGATCAAGTGAAAGTAGACTTACGTATTCACAGAAGTTGATATGCATTCGCTTCTTCCTTTTCTCCCACTGATGTTAGACCAGGAAACTGTCCAATATCATGCCCAGCAAGGGGACTTAACCTATCATGTAAACCGATAGCAAATTCTTCAGGACTAGCTTCACCATTCTGCAGGAATTCCGCAATCTGCAGGGAAAGAAGAGGAGTAAATTAACAAAACATATTTGTTATCTTTTCTTCTAGCTAGAATCCGCAAATTAAGACAAGAACACAAAATATTTTGAAATAGAGCCATGGGAAGCTTCTTACATGGTTTCCTAAGGCTGCCCCGCTTAAAGCTGCGGATTCTAGGTTAGAACCGAGAAGCCAGTCACCACATATACCAGCACGGCCTTGTGGATCAAATATACATGGCACTGCAGGAGTGTTCTTCGGCAGAGCTGCTCCCCTGTATATAAAAAATATTGAATCACAACCATAAATCTTCAAACATTTTAGCACTGTTATTGATACAACTTTTACTTACCATAGCTGGAAGCGGGTATAAACCGGCTTAGGAAGCGAGCCTTCAGGCAAGCCCAATGCCATTTCCACACCTTGAAGCATACCAGCTCTAACTTTGTCTGCCGTGACCGTTGGGATGTTTTCCTATGTGAAAAAGAGGAAGGAAAGCCATCTGATATCTGCAGTTTTGACATTAGTTTTTATAGCTTTGAAGAAACTAACCTGAGGAACTTTGTTCTGTTTTCCATATGCAGCAGTACTGAAAAAAGTCCAACAATGTGGAGATCCGCCATTTCCAAGCTTTGCGGAGTTATTTCCCATCCAAGACAATGATTCTACTCCTTTTACAAATGCTCCCTCGAAGTTCACTGTCGGAAGAGGATCATCAAAAGCTGCTAATAGCGCCCATATGGAACTCAGATCCAGTTTCTGGAACAAAGATAAAAAGAAGATTGTATCACAAGGGGCCATGGGACTTCACAGTTTCTGGTCCGCTAGATATTCTCTACCTTCATCTGTTTTGCAACAAGGGGCAAGCCTGATGCAGAAAGCAAGCGATTCGCACATTTACCTGAAAAAAGGTGAGCCATTTATATAAAAAAGAAGACATAACAAAGCATCTGAAGCTACTAAGAAAGAAACCAATACGCTTTCTTACCATTGTGAGCAATGACTATGACATCAAACTGACCACGAGGTGTTCCATTTTCACTTAAATGCCACATCCCATTAAGGGGTTCTAACTTACTAATCCAACAAGGCCTCACCAGATTTACCAATTGACTCTGCAACAAATTAACCAGTATTACTTACTTAAGGTCATAAAAATCTTAATTTTTTTTTTTTGTAGCAGAGAGATAACATATCTTACATCTAATAGCAAAGAATCAGCAAGAGATCGCATGCCATTAGCAGCAATATATCTTGGAGGTGATGATGAAGGAAACTGTGAGAAGCTACCTCCGACTTCAAGCTCTCCCACAACACCTTTCCACTCTCGAGCAAGTCCTTTCTCTAACCAACCATTAACCAATTGAATAAACCGAGAATCATTTGCAGTGAAGAATTGAGCAGCGTGATCGAAAATTAGTCCATGTGGTTCAACAATCCTTGTTCCAAGTCTTCCTCCTAAACCATGTATCCCCTACATAAGTGACATAAACACAACACAAGATATTTGAACTCCTAAAGGTTGGATTTTGAAGTAAATTACAACATCAAAAAACTTAAAACCCACAAATTTCACAGTACCCATTATACCAAACTCTAATTCAGATTAGAAAGTTTCAAAAAATGAACCAAAAATTGACGAACCGTATCGAAAACAGTGGACTGGACGCCACGAGCTTCCAGGTTCAGTGCGCAGACCAAACCAGCCATTCCGCCGCCGATAATCGCCACGTGGGGGTCATCAGAGACCCTCGCGGTGAAGGTAACCTGTTCTTGTAAGAACGATTTCTTGAGGATCGACCTTCTGGAAGTTCCATACTTGGAGGAGGATTTACGCCGTTTCTGGAAATTAGGGTTTCTACTGCTGGGGTTTGACTTCCCAGTGCTCTTCTGGGAATCGCATGTTGTTATAATTTGTCTTGTGGTTGAGGATAAGACAGGGGTCCTGGGTTTAGCTAGGGTTTTGAGTCTCAGAGGTTGAAGAAATGAAGAAGACAGAGGAAATAAAGAAGTGGCCATGGTTGAATTTTGGAGGGAGGCTTAAGATAAATACGCTTCACTTGAGGTCTTTATCTCTTTTAAAATCCTCGGAACCCAAATTACGATTTTACCCTCTTTTTTGTTTAATATTAACTTTTAGATAATCAAAAGAATAATACTAACAATTAGTCAATTGCAATCAACAAGTAAAAACACACATGGGGGCTCAGATAAACTACTTTTTTTTTTTTTGGTCATCAGATAAACCACTTCTATAGTAGTTTTATCGAAACAAAAAATAATATAATTGCTAATTAATCGGATAATGCGTTCCACCGAAAAATGCATTAAAATATTCAAATTAGGATAATAACATTTGATATTAGTCACGCGCTTTTTTATAATTTCGCTGTATAAATCAAGAAGTCCACACAGAATCAAAAAGAGAGACGAACAAAATTATGGATTTGAAAAAAGCATCTTTCTTTTTTTACTTTCTTATCTTTCTCCATCTGCAACACGGCTTTTTTACTCATGCGATCTCTCGACCTTCAACTCCTTCTCCCTCCGTTGATCCAAACCATGGCACTCTCCCGAAGCCGGTAGGTGACGTAGTAACGGAATTAGCAGTCGTTGTTAAGAAGGGAGGCGGAGGTGGAGGAAGAGGCGGAGGCAGCTTCGGCGGGGGAGGACGTAGCTTTGGTGGAGGAGGACGAGGTTTTGGCGGGGGATCACGCGGACGAGGCGGTGGAAGTAGTGGCGGTCGAGAGACTTCTGGTAAAGGAGGAGGAGGAATACGTCCGATTCCGATTTATGGCGGGGGATCGCACCACGGTGGTCATCGTTCAAGCGGCGGCCGGGAAACTGATGGCGGTTGGTTAGGTTTTTCGATTTTAGCCGGTTTGATTTTGGTTTTCTAGAGTTTCTATATTTGATTTTGCCGGTTTAGGTTAAATGTTTGATACCGGTTTTATTTCCCACTGGTTTGTTCTCTGGATATATCTTATGTAGAAGTTTGTTGAGATTCACTTAACTGATTTCAGTAAACTAGAGAATATATATTTTCGGTAATTCATCTTACCTACTAAAATTTAAATCCAACAGCACACAAAAATATACAAATTTCAACATTAGAGGAGTTCTTTCAACAATCAACATAAAGTTAAAAACTGAGAAAGATTACATTGTGAACCAACCATATACCGGAAATAACCGGAAAATTAAACAAAGAGTCTTTGTTTTGATTTTAAATTTTTTCCGGTAATATCAAAGTTAGTTTGAGTAAAACACAGACCAACAAAGCACCGTTCATCATATCTTTTCAAGCCTCACAAGCTTCCTCTGCGCACTCGTTCACTGGTTTCAATCCAGCTTTTCCCTTGCCAGATCTCAATCGAGGGCTGTCGAGAGCAGCATTGGCGTTCTTGTTCTTGTGATCGTCTTTGTTCTGAACTGTTCCTGTGCTGTGTCGGTTCCGGTTAGAGACTGTCTTTGGAATCTCTTCACGGGAAGATGAGCTGATTGCGTCGCTGAAGCTTTTTCTCCGAGAAAGGTTCAGTTTTGGCGACTTGGGACGCGTCAAAGGTAGCTAGAAAGAAACATACACGTTAGTTACTTAGTCACAAGAACAATGCTTGAAACTCTAAGCAAAGAGATAGTTTTATAGTTCTCAATACCTTCTTGAGCTCTGGTTTTGCAGGAGGGGCCTCGTAGTAGAAGTTGGGGACGGGTTTAGCCTTGAACTTGAGATTCTTTCTAAGCTGTTTTAATGCCGCTTCTTGTTCTTCCTGCAAACCATTGATTCAATGAAGCTTTAAAACCAATTTACAATCAGAAAATTAACTGCATCTACCAAAAATTATCTACTTTACCTTTTGCCTTTGTTCAAGCTCATTCCTTTCGGCTTCAAGCGCTTGGTTTTTCTCCTCAAGCTTTTGGTAATACTAAACCACACATACCCAAACAAATAAATCAATCACTAAACAGAACAGAGTGGACACTATATGAGAGTGCCCATTTTAGAGCTTATTTGATCTACAACTGAGTTTAGGAACCAGAAAGGTTGAATATCTACTAACCTCCCTGCGCTTCTCAGCACGTTGTGCACTTTTAAACGTCGGAGCAGTTCCATAAGTCACTGACTTACCCATCCTCATTGAAGTTGCCACACTGTGGATAGATATCATTAAGGTAGCAGCATTATCGGTTTTCTTAAGCATCGCATCACATACATACAGAAGTATCAAGTATTCTATGATATAAAAGTAGGTAAAGGATACGAAGAAGCGATGGAGCAATTATCATCATCATCGATATGCTTCTTGATCTCGGGTTGTAATGGCTTCCTCACCGCGAGAAGAGAAGCATCCTGCTGCAAGAAAAAAGAAAAACCATAAATTAGTCTATAGGCCTCAATCGTTCACATATCTCTCCGATATTTATCATCTTCAATGCATTAAAAGTCCCAGTTTTTCAAAACCAATGCATTTTACCTTTGAAGCTTTAGCATTTCCATGAAGGGTTTTAGGCGATTTTTGAGCTCCAATTCTCTGAGCAGATCCAACATTTGGTGCATTCTCAAAAAGAGTTTTCTCCTCTGTGCATTCTTTGACCTCAAAATCCTCCTCAGGCTCATCTGCAGCTATCTTAGGAGCAACGTGGACTCTAGCGGTTAGAACGTCGGCGTTTCGGTCCATAAGCACCTCAACTTCTCTTACCATTCCACTGCACATATCAACCAATTCAATTTGTAAGATCTCAGGTTATTATACACCTCCAACTTTCTCTCTCTCTCTACTTAAGCAACAACAAAAATCTCGTCTTTATTATGAAGTTTGCAACTTTTTTTTCATCAGACATTTCAAAAGTTAGAGATTGGTTCGAAGTTATGACATTTGCGAATCTGAAATGGTGCGTAAACTGTAGAGAAAGTCACAGAAGAACAATTCAAAAGTGAAACCAACACGCATAAACAACCCAGGTGAAGGAAGAAAGGGTCAAAATTTTCAAAGAAGAAAAAGAAAAAACATGTAAAAAATTAAAAATCCAGATGGGAAAAGGAATAAATTTGAAAACTTTGGAAGCAGATTTACAGATAGAAGAAGAAATATTTGAGGCAGAAGATAAAATGATTCAAAATGCAGAAAACTAAAAAATAGTTTGTAATCTGCTTACAAGTCTTGTAGGGAGGAAGGAGGAAGGATTCTTGTGCACCACCACCTCTCTGTCTCCTCTCTCCGATGGCCCGTGAGAATTTTTGCAGACAAAACAGAAATGAATATCTTTTTTATCCACAACAAAGTTGTCTCCCTCCTCCTCTCTCTCTCTCTCTCTCTCAAATTTTTTTTTTTTTTTTTTGGGGCGGTGACTATTTTGGAATTGTGTTTGATTTGTTTAAGCTGTTGGGTATTTATTGGGACTTTTCAATTTTTCAAAAATCGTTTACTTTAATATTTGGATTTTCTTGGCGCTTTTACCGCATGCTTCTTTATTTTAAAATCAGGATTTCAGAAAAATAAACACATTGAAAACGTACAACTTGGTAGAAAATGTAAATCTTGTTTAATTTCTTTTTTCCAAATTTGTGGCAATTAGTGTTTGAATTAAGTTTATAAAATAATTTTATAAAGAAAAAATAGGGTAATCATAATGTTAAGCAGCAGTAGTATCTTAGAAGGAAATTAAAACTCATAAATAATCATGTCGGACTTGAAAAAGTCACAAAACCAATGTGACAAATACGTTCCTCATTTAAGAATAATCATAAATACCAATGTGACTTGTAGTAGTAGTAGTAACTTTATTTAATTACCCACCTCTCGACTTACGTGACCACTACATTTAACCCACCTACATCACAGGCTTTTTGAATCCTTTTTTTCTTCTTTTCCAAATACGTATGTATTTCATTGTGTATTTTATTTATATTTTTTCAAACATTATTATACGTATGGATTTCATTTCTATATACAACTCGCACACTGTTAAATAACAAACCTTTAGACTAATGAAAAATGAAAAGTACGTATAATTTTATATCATTTGTAAGTTGTAATGCGAAAAGATAAACAATAAGCTTAAAAAATAGGTTAGTACCTTTACGAGTTCAAACCTGAAGAGTTAATTGTTTTGATAGTTTCCCTCGCTACTTTGTTTAAAAATTGTGCAGCTTTGTTACTTAAGGCATGATAAGCTTATGAACGCATATTATTCATAGAAGAAATATGCTTATATTTGTTCTTAATTCAAGTGATTTATAAATAAGAAAGCCTGTTAAAAAAAAAAAAATCAAACAACCAAAATATATCAAATTCAATTTATTTATTTTTGTGAATAATTAAACATATTTATATCTGTCTCAACCAACAAAGTTAACATACTGAAGAAACTAACAGTTTATATGATAAATATAGAAGAACTAGCAATATAATATAAATAATAAATTCAGCATTCAACTACATACATATGGTGCGTTTTGCAATGGTTAACGTCAAAACTCTAATAAACACAAGTTTTGTTTTTGCGAATTGCGACCTAACAACAACAAACTTACAAATTAACATAAATTGTCAAATACTAGTATAAATAATACTATAGAAAAAGTCAAAACATTCTTTAAATTCGGAAATTAATTAGAGTGTACAGAAAAATCAAAGTAAAAATAATTGCTAGAATAGAAAACTTCCAATTCCGACCGAATACAACACAACACACACCTTTGATATCATTTTCTGAAATTAGAAAAAAAAAAAAAAAAAGCTAAAAAAAACTAAAAATTTGAAAAACGTAGAAGGGCCCACGACTGCAATGGAACAAAAGTAGGACCCACACGTCGCAAACTCAAAAACCAGAAAATTTCTCCTTCTTTTTGGCGGCAATATTATTTAACCAGTAAAAAGATTTAGAAAAGCCAAATCGGTCGGTTGGTCCAACGTATTAACCAATATTGGTCCCCAAATCCTCAAAATATTTTGTCATTATCTTCCAAACGAGTTTGATTTCTCTCATTCTCTCATGTATTGTTGTTGTTGATACTACATAACATAATGTATATGCTTTTATTTATTTATATGATATGATGTCCTGTACAACCCTTATTATACAACATGGGGAAATCAAAGAAACTGTTTCTTCTTTTGTAATGAAGTTGATCACTCCTTTTAATAATACTATTGAAGACTTTTTATCGTCGTCATCAAAAGGTCTTTTATTCAACATTGACTTTAACTAATTTATGAAGTTTATGTTTTTTAAAAAAAGTCTCTCTTCTTATATATCAGTATTTAACGCTTACTAAATGATTATACATCATCATCTAATATTATCCATCAATAATTACATTATTAAAAAATATAAGAAATAGATATTAACTGAACTAAGGCCCAATAGTTTATAACATGTGCTACCTAAGGCCTTATAGGTAGGTGATAACATATTCTTGTACCGCAGGCCCATTTAGAATAATAAACGACGCACAAACATCGTGGGTAGTCTCGTCATTTATCACACTCGAAGCGAGGTGAACCAATCCGTTATTCGCTCTCTTTACTCGGTCAACAAACCGCTCGATGACAGACACGTGTCACGTTTTCGTTGCCTTCACGATTGCTATAAAGAGGCCGTTAAGCATCGTAACTGTTCTCTAATTCCCCGAGAGTTAACCCCAACACAACTTTTCCCGCGAGAGAGATAGAGTCAGATAGAGAAAGAGAGAAGTTACGATACGAATCGGAGAAGAAGCAGAAGAAGAAGAAGATTACTTGATAGCAGAGACTGATCGATCTGAAGATGGCGATGGAAGTAGCAACTCCGGCTCCGGCACCTATCCCAGCGGAGAGGAACATCGTTCTTTCCCCGGCCACGACTACCGTCAATGTTGAGACTCACAAGAAGAACAGGATCCAAGTCTCCAACACCAAGAAGCCTCTATTCTTCTACGTCAACCTCGCCAAGGTAATCATCGGATCCCTAATTTCTCGCCCGATCCACCGTTTTCAGATCAGATTAGTCTCTGTTTCTTTATTTTACGCTCATCAGGTTTACGATATCCGCTTGGTTCAAGTTCGTGGAACCAATATACGATCATCCTTTTAATACTTCAAATTGATCAATCTGCCGTGGCCTTGATTTTGTTCCTGATTCGTGTTTATTTTAATCTGCCCAGTACTGATTTTGGATCGATCTTTAACGTTTTGATTTAGAGATTCAGAATCTTCAGTTTTATGTAATTGGCATTGCGTTTGATAAGTTCCCGTCGTTTGTTGCAGAGGTACATTCAGCAACACAACGAGGTTGAGCTCTCTGCACTTGGAATGGGTAAAATACTCTTTTACTGTATCTTGATCCATTTTAGTATGATCGGTGACTCATCTTCTAGGATCTATTCTTCTGTACACAGCAATCACGACTGTGGTTACAATCTCTGAGATCTTGAAGAACAATGGTCTTGCAACAGAGAAAAGTAAGTCAAATCGATCTTCTTACCACGCACAAATGATTATCTTTCTTTTTAATTTTAAGAATCTGTTTCATTGTTGTTATGTTGGTAAACCACAGAGGTGCTAACATCTACTGTGGGAATGAAAGATGAGACTAAAGGAAGAATGGTTCAGAAGGCAAAGGCAAGCTTTCTTTGACATTATGTTTATCATCTGTTTAGACCTTTTATTCACCTCCTTATGGGTTTCAAAAACTGTTGCAGATTGAGATTGTGTTGGGAAAATCAGACAAGTTCGACTCTTTGGTGCCACCAGTGACCAACGGCAAGACTCCGGAGGAGGAAGCTAATGCAGAGACGGAGGCTGCCGTGGAAGCACAAGAAGTTGCTGCCACTGAAGCCTAAGATGGAGCTTGTTGTAAGGGCCACCACAGAAGAAGGAACAATGTCACTTTTACTTTGTTTTGTTGCTTTTGTTTCGTTTGTGACATATCGAACATAATACTCTAGATATGATAGTAATTGTTTGTTTAGTATGAAATAGTATTTTTCACTTTCTGCTTCCATTTAGGATCTTCAACAATATTAATATGAATATTTTACTATTTTTTCATTTTGCAAAAACTGGTTTTGAACAAATCAGATTCTTAATATTAAATCGAAGTTGACTTACTTTATGCTAAGCACGATTAAGGTTGATATCTAGTAAATAAAATTTTTTTTAATACAATGAAGAAAATTGTATCCCAAATATTATAAAACCACAATATCGTTAACTTCAGTTAAGTGGAAATTTTAAACTATATACAATATATGTCAATTATTAAAAAACAACATATACATATGCTATATTATATTGTGTGTTTCCAACCTAAAACCAATTGACAATGAGTGGAGAGGCCCATATCTTATATATACCACTTAAGATCCTACTCAACTTCCAATGTGGGATATTGTTATCCCTAATATGCTATAGATAAGAAAATAAGTTTACTACAAAATGATCATTAAACAGGAATTTATATAATTAAACTAAATAATAATAATAATAATTATCAATGATAAATATAAAATGGCTCAAAACAGACCCAACGGCCCATACAAATACCGACTATTTATATATGCGGCCTACTTATGTGAAAGTTAGCAATTATAAAGTAGAAGGACCAAAGTGCAAATAAAAGTAAAAGTTCACTACTTCTCGATCTCAGCTTTAAGATAATTTCACCCGCCTCCATCGTTACCGGAATCTCTCTCTTTCTCCGCCGACCTCCTTCGAATCGAGTTTTCTTTTACCTTTCTACTTGCGCTGAAGGTTCCATCGCTACCACGTTAGTTCACTTGTCTAACTTTAAACCATATCTCTAAGCTTTTGGGCTTTCTATTGGCAATTCTAGGGTTCTTCGCTAGGTCTATATATATACTTTGTTAATCTAGGGTTTTCAGTAGTTTGGGTTAGTCGCGCGACGAATTCCGATTACTCCGGTCGTATTACAGGGTTCCGTTTGTATCTGTGCGTTGTTCTCAGTTGTACTAAAAGTAATCTTGTTTACTCTTATGAAATTTACTGGTATTTGATTTTATGAGATACATACTCTAGTTTCATCGACACCTTGGTTCTTGCTTTTGCAAAATAAGCTTAGGCTAAGTTGACACCTTTTATATGAAGCAGCTATTAGGTGGCTTATACTTACATGTTTGATTTTGATTTAGCATACTGTTAGCCATGATGCCTGTGATGCATTGCTTAATTCTAGCCGTATTTTTTCTTTCCAACACATAACTTGTCGGAGATATTTTTTTTTTATATCATTATCTATGCTTAGCGGGAAGTGAAATCTTTTCAATGAAACTTTTCTTGTTTGTATATGTCTACTGGGACTAATCTGCATGTCTGAATTTATTTCAGCACTAGAGTCATGGCTGAAGCTGAAGATCAGCAAAATTTTGTTGCACATAATGGAGATCAGGTACCAGATCAAGGGTTAGACGAGGTGCATAATGGGATACCGTACCAGGGCCATGATGAGACCATTGGTCACCAACAATACGAGGTTCAAGATCCGATTCTTGAACCTCCACAGTACGTTGTACAAGATCAGACTCTTGAACCCCAGCAGTACGAGGTTCAAGATCAATTAGAGTATCAAGGATACCAGGGGCAGGACCAGGCTCATGAAGAAGTCCAAGATCAGCCGCAAGATGACCTACAATATCAGCCACAAGATCAGCCGCAAGATGACTTACAATACCAGCCTCAAAATCAGGAGCAGTATCAGTTGCAAGACGAGGCTCATGATCAGGCCCACTATCAGGTGGAAGGTGAGACACAAGATCACAATGGTAATGAAGTGCAAGATAAAGTAGAAGATGAGGAAGGAATTCCTGAGCATCTTGAGTCTTTAGAGAAATCAGAGCCTGAAGAAGGTGCAGCAGTTGGAGGTGAGGAGAAGAGGTGGCCGGGATGGCCCGGAGAAACGGTGTTCCGCATGCTGGTTCCTGCACAAAAAGTGGGTAGTATCATTGGTCGCAAAGGTGACGTCATTAAGAAAATAGTTGAGGAGACAAGGGCTCGAATAAAGATTCTTGATGGTCCTCCAGGCACAACCGAAAGAGCTGTGAGTTTCTAATTTTTTTTTTCCTTGCCTTTACATTTCATGTTATATGAGTTGCAGCTATTAGTCAATTAATGCTCTTGAACCAAAAATAAAACCCTTATGACAAGAAAACTATTATAGTAGAATTTATACACTTTTTGGCTGTATAAGTCGCTGATTAAATTTTTTTGGCTCTAGTTTTGTTAAAATAAAATAAAAAAGGCCTCGAGTTTTAGCGCCTTTTGCATATTCTCCCCTTGACCTTAATTTAATATATAAGTAAACAGATAGGAAATTGCACACCCCTTCAACAAAGAATTTGTGAACAAATTCATGTCGGAAAAGTGTTTTAGTTTGGCTGGGTGATATGATCCTGAGCTGCTAAAAAAGTGTTGAAGAATGTAGTGCATCAAGCGAAACCTCCTTAATTAGTAAATTAAGCCTATATCGAGTATAGTAACAGGCAGGCCTGCTTACCTTCAAGTGAAAGGAGGAAATTTATCGACGAAGTTCATAAGATGTGAGTAGGGTTCCCCTTTATTGCTGTGACCACCATGAATCTGTGCAGGTTATATCTTGCAAATTTTATGGCAACAAATCAATCATCGGTAAGGTCTCAAATATGAAGATCGAAAGCCAGATGGCAAGGATTCAGCCTTGAGCACTACGAAGTGCTGATAAGTTTATCGAATAGGCAAGATTTTTCTTGTATAAACTTCAGTGCCATGAAGCTCTGCATTCTTTCTGGTAACTTCAGTACCTGGATGATTGACAAGGACCTGCTTAACCGGATGTAACAATATGTGGACGATGAGATTATCGTTTAGGCGACAATTAAGTAAAGAGAAATTTTAGGATTGCATGAAAAAGGATCTATGAAGAGCTATTTAAGTCTAGTAGATTGGTAATGGCTGCTATGGCATTTGAAAATGCGATAACCTAATCACCATGGGTAAAAAATTTAAATCAAGTTCATAACAGGAAATAAACATCGAACCGGTCAAAGTGCATTTAAGTCTGTACCACTTTGGAATTTCTTTACGATTTGAGAAATATGGCACCAAAATAATAATCGGTATAGAAATTACTATCGCTGTTTGTGAAACGTTTTACTTATTTTGGTAATGTTATCTACTTGTTTCCTCTTTGTTGGCAGGTTATGGTTTCTGGTAAAGAAGAGCCCGAATCATCTCTACCACCTTCTATGGATGGCCTTCTTAGAGTCCACATGCGGATAGTTGATGGTTTGGATGGTGAAGCTTCTCAGGCCGCTCCGGCTTCGAAGGTGTCAACAAGATTACTAGTCCCAGCATCTCAGGCTGGAAGTTTGATTGGAAAACAAGGAGGAACAGTTAAAGCTATTCAGGAAGCATCCAGTTGTATAGTCCGAGTTCTTGGATCAGGTTCCTTCTCTTCTCAATTTACATGCTGAAAATTTTCTCTCTTGCTTTTTGTTTTTGGTTTCCCATATATGTGAGATGCCACTGGTAATTTTGTATCTTATCTTCATGTGTAAATTTTGCTTGAACCATAATTAAAATCAAATTTTCAGATTGGGTTATTATATTCTGAATAGTTTAAATTTTCGTTTTTGGTGTGTGTTTCGTTTATTCCGTATTCATGGGTCCTAACTGAAATTTGTTATGGTGGATTTTTGTAGAGGATTTGCCTGTTTTTGCCCTTCAAGACGATAGGGTTGTTGAAGTTGTGGGGGAACCAACAAGTGTTCATAAAGCCTTGGAGCTGATTGCGTCACATCTCAGAAAGTTCTTGGTTGATCGTAGCATCATCCCATTCTTTGAAAATCAGGTTATCTTTTGTTCCGTTGGATCTTCTGCAATGTTTCTCATTTGTCTCTATAAGCTTTTCTCTTAACTATGCTTTCTTAAAACAGATGCAAAAGCCAACTCGCCAGATGGATCATATGCCACCACCGCACCAGGCATGGGGTCCTCCTCAAGGTCATGCACCAAGTAGTGGGCCAGGAGGCTATGGTCACAACGCACCTGCATATATGCAACCACCTCCTAGACATGATAGTTACTATCCTCCTCCTGAGATGCGTCCACCTCAAATGGAGAAACAGCCTCATCAAGGTATATCTGCATATGGGAGAGAGCCTCCTATGAATGTGCACGTATCGTCTGCTCCACCTATGGTCGCTCAGGTATTCCTCCAATCTCAGCAAAACCTGTGAATTTGATGTCTTAGAAGTTAACTGTTCAATCTACTGCAATGTATGTAAGTAAATTACATGAGAGTCTGACTGGTCCTGGGGATTTGTTTGTCTTTACAGCAAGTTACACAGCAAATGCAGATTCCATTGTCTTACGCAGATGCTGTAATTGGGACATCAGGTTCAAACATAAGCTACACAAGACGTCTTAGTGGAGCAACGGTAACCATTCAGGAAACGAGGGGAGTACCTGGTGAAATGACCGTTGAGGTTAGCGGAACTGGCTCACAAGTCCAAACTGCTATGCAGCTTATTCAGGTACCCCTATATTCTCACACCAGATTTCTTAAACCATAGTCACCTTTAAAACCTCTTATCTTGCAAAAACGAGACAAAAGCTGGTTTTTTTATTGACAGAACTTCATGGCTGAAGCTGGAGCGCCGGCACCAGCACAGCCTCAAACTGTAGCACCAGAGCAGCAAGGCTATAACCCATACGCAACACATGGCTCAGTCTACGCACCGGCTCCAACAAACCCACCTGGAGGATACGCTACGGACTACAGCTCAGGCTACGGTTACTGATACAAGATTTCCAAGTTCTTTAGAGTTGTTTTTACTAGTTGCAAGCAAAAGAGTGAGAACGCTAGATGCCTAATGGAGTATATGTTGTTATTAGCGAGCGCACTTGGGGTTCTTGAATCAATCAAATATTATCCTTTTTCGTTTGGACAGCAATCAATCAGTATTATCTTCTCTAGTCGTTTCGAGACTTCGTCATATGTGCACTGCTCGGTATTGTCTTTATAAAATTTAACTATTAAGCTGTTTTTGATCAAACGACTTTTCTGGAAATTTTATGATAAATCAGTCACCCATGTCCTTAGGGATTTTCTTTCCTTTTTCTGACGACTTATCTTTTTGTTTCTCTTGGAAGAGAGTTTTGTCATCTTAATTGATTTTCATATGATGTTTGAGTTTGAGAGGTTAAATTAAAAGGAATTTCACAAACGTTGACGTAAAAGGTCAACTAACCCAACCAAATATCAAACGACTTAAACTAACCAAACAATATCAGAAGACTTGTGTCGATAAGGCAAAAGTCTGAATCTGCTCCTTTCTCTCCTTGAAATCCTCTTCACTTGTAGATTTTGGTAAGTTTATTTGAATCGAGATTCTACATCATAACTTTCGTGTTACTTTCTATGGTCACTACATTAGAGGTTTAGATTTTATTCTTGAGACTTTTACGTACTGTGTTTGGTTGCAGAAGCATGGACTGGATACTGCTTAATGCTGCAGCTAAAGGGGACATCCATATCCTTAATCTTATCACATTTAACCAATCAGAAGTCGCCAAGAGAACGCCACAGAACAACAACGTTCTTCATATTGCAGCTAAGCATCAGAGGTTGGATTTTGCCGCATCCATACTTAAACTCTTCCCATCACTCCTCCTTACAGAAAATAACAATGGAGACACACCTCTGCACGTGGCAGCTAGCGTTGGTTCCTTTGAAGTTTCGAAACTTCTTGTCAACTCAGCCAATCAAGTAACTTCAGATATCGAAAACAAGGGGATAACCGACACACGGAAGCAGCTATTGAGGAGTACTAACAAGCAAAACGATACAGCCTTGAATGTTGCATTGAAGAATGGACATATTGATGTAGCTAAGTTCTTTGTTGAAGAAGACACAAGATTGCTATATATGGCTAATAGCAACGGAGTATCTCCTTTGTACTTAGCCGTTGAAAGAGGGCTTTTCAACATTGCTGCTAATATTTTGGAGGTATCTCCTTTTGTTTCATGTAAAGGGCCTAAAGGTATGAACGCCTTGCACGCTGCTGTGGACTCCGATAGTATCAGAACTAGTAATCCTCTACCTTTCTCTTTTGATATTCATTTCCATAAACCTTTTTTATCAGTTGAAACTCTCTAGTGTTAAGTTTTGTGAATTCCCAACTTGGTGGTAATGAGTGCATTGGTCATAGCTCTTAAGTTGCATCTCACTTTCCGATGTTGTATTCCTAAATATCTAGTTTTGGTTAGGTTTCTTGATAAAATTGATGGAGAAAAGGCCAGAAATGATCACAGCAGTTGATACTGTCGGATGGACGCCTCTTCATTATTCGGTATGGCTAGGCAAAACCGAGATAACTCGACTCTTGCTTCAACATGATAGCTCGGCTGCTTATATATCTGATAAGGAAGGACAATGTCCGCTACATCTTGCGGCCTCTACTGGTCAAATTGATGCATATAGAGAGCTTGTTCGTAGCTGTCCTTATGTTTGGGAACTAGTTGATGGTAAAGGCAGAACATCTCTTCACTCTGCAGTCATATCAGGACAAACAGGAATCATTCACTGTATTCTTGAGTTCCCTGAGATTTCACTTCATCTGTTGAACGAAAGCGATGTAGATGGAAACACACCTCTCCATCAATCGGTTATTCACAAATGCTACTCCATATTGCTGCTTCTTTTACGTAACAAGCGGGTAGATAAACATCTTATGAACCATAATCACTTCACAGCTGCAGAACTCTTTTACTCTCAGAACCAAGAGGTACAAAAACTAGCTTAGTCAAGCTTTGGTTTGGTCATAGCCCATACAAATTCCTAATTGATGCATGAACATAAAAGAAGCTGAAGTGGTACTCACCGCACACTTACCAGATGTGTCTCAATTTTGGTGTTTCCAGATTAGTTTCAAGGTTGCGATGGCATACTATGCACTGCAAAGATACTACAAACAACCGTCTCAGCAACAGAACATAGAGACAAAGAAGAAGCAAGACAAGGCAGATCGTAAAGAAAGCAGTGGAGTAAATGATGGTGCAATGTATGAGGTTCATCTTCTAGTCGCGGTTCTTGTTGCAACTGTAGCGTTTGCTGCAGCATTCCAGTTACCTGGCGGTTACAAACATGATGGTACACCTGCACTGATGGACGAACCAGCTTTCAAATGTTTCTTGGTATTCGACACAATCGCCTTCTGCTTCTCTCTCACCACAGTCTATTTCTTGTTCTACGCTTCAAGAGACGGGTTTCGCGCCCGCTCTAGATTTCTCTACATGTCTGCTCTGTTAATGGTTGTGGCGCTAGTCGCGATGGCCTCAGCTTTTGTATCAGGAATGTATCTGATTTCTTCCAAATCAAGAGGGTTAGCCATCATACCTTTCTTGGTGGCTGGCTTCTTCATCTTGCATGGTTTCATCTACTGGTTTCTTGATCCACGAGGCAGCTACGTCCTTGGCCTCGAACAACCTCGCCGGTTATCAAGGAAACTAGTCTATGGGAGCTCATTGTTTCATAATTTGGTACATGAATGAGTGTGTATGGATTTATCAAAGATAAAGCACAAATTTATAATCACAATATCACATAAGTTACTTTTGTAAATTTCTATTTAAATCAAACCTAAATAAAATACATTCCAAATGGGAAATAAAACGTGATCTCAGGATTAATAAGAAAAAGAGAGTATGCGTAACTGGCTCGAGCTGAGCATAATATAACATACGTAAAGACATGATTCAACATACAGGCAATGTAATGTTGTTCTGTAGTTTCCTTCTGTTGCCTGAAATCTTCAAATTGATCTTTCTTTTTTTAGTACACTGAACAGAGTTTACCCCAGCGGTTTTTGCTTCTTTTCCATTAACTCACTAGAGATTGCCGTATTGTTCCTGTCAGAGAAATCCAAACAAATCAGATCTATGAATTCAAATTAGGATACTAACATCATCCTAAAACAGCAAGGACACTTACAAAGATACAGAGAACATGCTGTCGTTGCAAATCAAATTGGTGCAGCACAAGTGGTTCTGAAATGTCCGGTCTGGTTACACCGGCTACAGTGCACAACCCGCTTCACTCGTCCTCTATCTTCAGCTCGAACTCGTCTTTTCCTCGGCCTACCAGGCGGTCTCAGAGACTTTGGAGGGTTTATAATAACCTCAAGAGCAGCTTTATTCACGCTTGGATCTCCTTCAGAAAGCTCTCTCCAAAGACTTTTATCTGGAATCGGATGAATCGTCTGAGAATAAGTCTTCCTATAAGTAGCCACTGTGAAACAGCTCTCAGTGAACCTATGAACATTCTGTCTACAAGAAAGAAGAGCCGCCACGGCGTGTGCACAAGGTAAACCATATAACTGCCAACCCCGACAGAGACAACAGCGGTTCCTAATATCCACAATGTTGTTTCCTTCATGAGAAATAACTTCAAACTCCGCTTCATTGGCTCGAAGCACCTGATAGCTTCTTGCAAGCTCAAGAGCCTCGGCTACACGCCGCTCAGCGGTTGGGACGAGTATTGAAGTCCATTGCATACTGGTTTCACGCCGTTCATTGAACCAAGTCATTAGTTGTCTCCTGATGCATTCCATCATCTGAATAATTGGAAGTCCTGATGCTTCAGCAATCCATGAGTTTAAGGATTCAACTATATTTGCAGTTAAATGTCCAAACCGCTGTCCTTCAAAATATGCAGTAGCCCATAACCGAGGAGGGATTCGCCGGATCCAGTAAGCTGCATCTTGAGAAATCTCTTCAATTTCGAGTATTTTGGCTTCAAACTCGATCACCGTTAGAGCTTGAGCAGCTTCCCACAGATAATTGACCAACATTGTGTTGTTAAATTCCTTGCGGAAGCTTTCGCTCAAATGTCGCATACAAAAACCGTGAAACGCAGTTGGAAAATTCTGTTCCACACCTTCCACTATTCCCTTTTGTCTATCCGACAAAATCGTGAGTCTAGGCATATTCTCAGTGTTGGTTTCAAGAAGATTATGAAGCTCACACAAAAACCACATCCAATTCTCATCATTCTCCTCATCTACAATCCCAAACGCCAACGGAAACAAAGCACCGTCTCCATCAAATCCAGTCGCGAGAAGCAACGTACCCAAATACTTGCTCTTCAAATATGTCCTGTCCAATCCAAGAAGCGGTCGACACGCATTTAGAAACCCATAAATTGAAGCTTGAAATGATATGAAGAGGCGCTGGAAGCAATTATCAGCTGGACTTCCATAAACCGAAGCAATGCTTCCCGGATTTGTCCTTTTAACCTGCTCACAATATTGAGGAAGTAACCGATACCCTTCTTCAAAAGATCCACGCATTGTCGCCATAATTCTTTCTTTCCCACGCCAAGCTTGTTTGTACGATAAGGTGATTCCGTGAACCCGATGTATCTCTTCAAGAATCTCTTTAGGTTTACAATTCGGATTCTCACGAAGACGTTGTTCAACAGAGCTAGCAACCCACTGAACTGAAGCTTGTTGGTGACCCAAATGATTTATTCCTCCACAGCTATGGCTTTCATGTATCGTCCTGATTGTGAAAGTTGGAACCCCAGGGAGCTTTGCAGCGTGAACTCTCCATGGACATCCTTCACTCGAACACTTAGCTGTGAAACGAGTTTTGTCAGACTTTATTGTCTGCATTTCAAAATGAAGAGCAATCGCCATATCTCTCAATGCTCTACGGCAACTTTTCACATCTGGAAACTCTTGTCCAACCGTAAGTTGGTAAGTCATATCAGCAGTAAGAGCTCGGGCTTGGACCGGAGTGCTGACCATAACCATATCACCATGATGATCAATTTCAATTTCATGACTAGAGTCAACAGCTAATTCCAGATTGTCGTCTAGTTCATGGTTTTCCCCAACCACCAACTGATTATTATTATCTGACAATGAAAAGTCATGGTTTTGCGAGGAAAGAACCAGATCAGGATCAACATCGTCGTGATCAGGTTTTTGATCCACCGAGATTTCATTCTCGTTCATATAGTCGTGATGATGATGATCCTCTGCATCCTGATCTTCACTATTTCCTAAGCCTAGCTCATGATCATCATGAGGATGTCCTAAATCAATTTCATGATCATGATGAGCATGTCCTAAATCCATACTGTGACCTTGGCCTAGCGCCACATCATGGTTTTGACCAAGACCTAGGCTGTGGTTGTGACCAAGCACCAAAGATTGACCCTGCCCAATACCGATATTATGATTCTGCCCAAGCATTAAATCGCGATTCGCCATTTGCTTCTCTTTTTTTAATATCACACTGCTTCAAAATAATCCACTCGTAAAAAAGAAACTAATTATCTCGATCTACAGTACCTGTATTAACAGAACGCGTTCAGTAAGATCGAATAGTCCAAGTAATCATAACACAAGCACATGTTCCAACTCAAACAGACTTAAGAATGATACAACCCAAGTAAATAAGGTCTAGATATGACAAAAGATACTGATAATTGAAAGTGACTCGTGACCTCAAGTTACCATTCAGATTCCAATTTTTCAAACCACAAGCTAGAGACCAAAGCATCAGAGATATCAATATGAACTGAAATTTAGGGAGAGACAGCAAACACTTCAGACTTACAGAGATAAAACGGAAATGGTCATCTAGTTGAGCTGTCGGCATCCTCAATTTCACTGGACAGTGAGACTAACCCAACGAAAAGACTGTAACTTACTCTTCAGACAGACGGACATTTCGGATAATGGAGCTACACAAGCAGAGTAAGAAAGTAACGTGAGTGAACAAAATCTGACAGGGACGCGTAAATTGCGCAAGATGACGACTTTCACGTTGTCCAAATCTCAAATCGACACTATCAGATATAACTATATAATTCGAAAATTCGAAAAAGTTCTGAGTCAAATACGAGATCCTTAACCAGCTAAATGAATTTTACTCAAAGATCTGAGCTTTAAAAAAAAGAAGCTAAAAACGATAGAAGAATTCACAACAAGGAAGGAAGATAAGAAATACAAATAAAAATGGAAACTTTAAGTTGAAAAAAGAGAAAACTCACTTGAATCAGATTCTGGGTATCAACCAAAAACGCGAGAAAGACACAAACAAAGGCCACACGGATCCGAGAAATCACAAATCTAGGGTTTCGAGGAGGAAAGGGGAAATGGAAAAGGGAGGAAGGAGCCGTTGGAAGAGTGATTTTGGCGGGTAAAAAAAAAAGGAGAAAGGAGAGAATTCGGGTTGAAGAAATCGGGGAAGAGGGGCAAACACGGAGAAGAAGATTGGGAAAGGGTCGGATTGGGAATTTACAGAAGGGGCAGAAGAGGGAGAGATTAGGTTTCCCTGAGGCTGATGATGCCAAATCACACGTTGCCTTCTTCTTCTCTCAAGGCCTTTTTCGTCTTTTTACTTTATTATCTGCCTCACGCTGCCCTCCCGCTTCCCTACTATTTACGGACTTGCCCCCTTTTTTGGATTTCCAAGTCCAACTATTGAACCTTTTTTCATAAGTGTAAAGCAAACAAGGCCCAACTCGCGAAACTTGGCACTTTGAAGATGACTATTTCAATTTAGTTTTTTTTTTGTTATATATTATATAGAAATGAATATTTTTATTTAGATTCTGTTTTAATTTTTTTTTTCAGTTTATATATCTTATAAAAAAGTTTAAACAAAAAATGTAAATTTTGCTAATTTTCCATAAATTTACATCTAGTTCTAGTATACAACAGCTTAACTTTATTCAAAAAGGTGAAAACAATATCTTATTATCTTTTTAGAATTTAATTTTAATATTATATATAAAAACTAGGAAAATGAAAGTAGCAAAAGTATTTCAAGGACTAATTTATCCTTACAAATCATTATATAGAAATGTCTAAATCCGGTGTGATGTGAAGTTTACAGAGCAGCTAAAAAAGGAGCTTCTTCTTCTATTCGAACATGCTTGGGAGAGGTCTCACAGCCATGAAAGCATCCACCATCTGGAAACAAAAATTGTAGAGTCAGTACAATTGATATTCGAGTCTTGACGGTTGAGACCAACGCATTTAGCAGATCTTTTACCTCATCAGTAACAGCAGCTCGAGCCCTTCGGTGTCTCTCCACCATTTCTGTCAACACTTCAGTAAGTCTCTTCTTTACTTCCCCCGTTAGCATTCTTCCTTCTCCGTACTCCTGAAACAGTAAAATCGTTGAGTTTTAATCTTTTCAGACACATTCTTCTTTCTCACCAATGATAAATAAAACAAGTGTGATGTTATAATTACCTTTTTAATGTGTTCTAGTTCGGAATCATCTTCGAGGAAGAAACTTAGATACTTGACGGGTATGTCTACCTGTAAAAGTAGAAGGGAGATTATAACTCAAAAAGCAAGTATAGCACTGGCACCGATAAGATCAACTATCAAGAATCCGCAACTGATAACAGAATTGTTTCCAAGTCAATTAGTTTTTGGCAAGTCCTTTTAAATTCCCATCTGAGTTACTTTTTGTAGGGTTGATAGTATTCTAAGGAACATAATCTAAAAAAAGTGAAGATTCATTCTTAATTTTAACTATATATTACCTTGTATGAAACACATTGGAGAGTTGCCACTACCTAATACAGAATAAGGTAAGAGGAAACAAGGAATTTCGTACCTCGAGATTTGCTCCAAGTTCTCTGTGCTTCTCGACGGACTCCTGTCCACCACTAAACGCATATCTGTTTATCTGCATATGGAACCACACCAAGATTAGCCAATTATCTGATTTTATCATTAGGACTGGTCATTATTGTTCCGAAACGTATCTCAGATGCCGTTACAACAACAAAGTGCCTAGCTTTTTTTCAAAAGGCAAAAGGAGTGGAAGGACTTGGGTAGCAACAAATCTAGACAATGAATGCGGTGGTAAAAGCCTACAATGTTGATGTGGAAATCCAGAATGGCTTGTTATTATAGATGCGCAGAACAAAACAAATTACAGAATTTACCTTGTTTTTAATTTCTTTCGCGGTATCGGTCACATAGATAGCAGAATTTGGATCACTAGCAGACATTTTTCCATTCTCTCCCTGGGTGAAGTGACTAAAGCATTTAGTTGTGGAAAGCAAGAAATTGTAGTGAGTTTAAGAAAGTACTTGCCTGCAGAGCAGGAAAAAATGATGACTCAATCAGGGCCGGCTTGCTATAGCCTAACCGGGGTGCAACATCACGAGTCATTCTAAAATAAGGATCCTGAACAAAAAACCAAACGCAAAGATTGGTTATAAATACAAATGTGATACAAGGAAAAAATAGAAGAGACTGATTATGGATGGAATGGAAGTATGCAAGGCTCGCATTCACAGACATTTTTACACCATTGGGAACATATTTATCTTCAAACAAGCAAACCAGTTAATATAAAAAGTTAGACCACACCTGGTCAATAGCACAAGGAATCAAACAGCGGAGATTGTCCTTGCCAGGGAACAAATGTGGGAATGAGCTAGGAAAAGATGGAACTGCCTGCAAATAAATATGGAAAACAATTATCCAAATTAATTATGACAGTCCATATGCATTAGAATACATTACATATACCCGCACCAACAAAAAATAGACATACCTGCACAGGAGGGAAACTCAGTTTCCCGATAGGATCTTCACCGGAAAAGCCAAAGATTCCAATAGCCTAACAAAGAAGGAGATATACAAATGAAAATCACAAACACAAAGCAGCAATAAAACATATCAGCCGCATTTTGCAATTCAGGAGGACAGAAAGTAAAGTCACCTTATTAAGGGTAACGCACTTGGAGACCTTCACCATGTTTTTATAGAAAGCACTACACACAAAGTTTTAGCATATCATCAGCCAGAGAGATTGTGATATATAAATCAAAATAAAGACCTAGACAGGGTACAAAATATATGCCATCATATGATCTAACAAATCTTCACTAAAGCAGACAGGACGTTGTTGAGCTATATGCCTGTAGGCTATATATACTACCAAGAGCCCTTCAAACAATAGTTTCTACTAAGCAAGAGCGGATCTAGTTTTATCCAGAGATTCGAATGACCTACCCACCAACATAGTCGAAGTCAGAGAAAATGAAGGTCTTTGTTACATCGAACCCACAAGCAATTATATCTTTCGCATTTTCTCTGGCAAGTCTTTGACTTTCCTCCACCGATAAGTTCTTCCACAAGCATTTTTCATCATCAGTGAGCTGTATAACAAGGGGAACCTTGAAAGCTTCTTGCAAGTATCTGCAAGCCATGTCGGAGAATAGATGATAATCGAAATCTTCAAAACGATTCTGGCATTGATCCACTAACTTAAGAAAACTAAGACAACAATAGCATCACGATCGTAGTAGGATCTCACTTACTTGGTAAACATGAAAGGAATCAAATGCCCTAAATGTAAAGCTTCTGACGAAGGTCCTCTTCCAGTGTAGAGATAGAACTTGTCTCCTTTCTCGTAGGCGTCCAAAATCTCATTGAAATCCCTATAAATCTCACATTTAAACCATCAGTAACAGAACATACCCATCTAGATAATTCATGAAAACAGTGAATTTCGAACCGGTGGGCGAAGAAGACACCACGGCGGAGAAATACGTGTGGTTGACGAGAAGTTAGTCTCTGAACACGATCAATCAGTGATTCGTCAAGCCTCTGACAACCAAATTTGTCAATGAGCTTATCGTAATCGATCTTCCCACCGTCTTTGGCAGATACTTCCCATGGATTCACCACTTGCTCCGAAGATTCAGACTCTCTCTCATCCTTCTTATCCACCTCCATCTGCAAAAATCTAGAAGAAAAAAAGAAGTCAGATACGATGGATTCAATAGTCTTAATGAAAGTCATCTTGATTAACAAGCAAGCTGAAATAAGCTGAAGGACACTGAAGTACCTATGGATTATCCGGTGATAAGACGGCCGTGGAGGTGCTGCAGCGGCGGTTTCGCGACTGGAGGAGTTAGTAGTGGGCGAAGAAGGAAACGAGGTTTTAACTCATATGTATATTAACTATTTAGGAGTCAGAGTCTTTTGTTTTTGTCAATTGTGCCGTCATGTTTTAGATAATGTCAAACACCCCCTCATCTCCAGGCCGTAATTTAATGTTTATTCTCAATAATACCTTTGACTTTGAAAAGTAACAAATGACCTCCTCCTCTACTAACAACCCAAACTCGAAATAGTTTAAAATCTTGTCAATTATAACACAAATCAAAATCTCATACCGCCATGGCTTTCTTTTTCATCATTACAAGTTGATACATCTTTCCTTTTGTACGACTCGTGATTAATCTTTCCGTAGGCTATGTTAAGATGTTATCCTATCATTAAATTTCTATATTGAAATATAAAATCAAGCATAATCCAATATATACCGGTTAATGAAAGTATGGAAAAAGATAGGTGGTGACAGATTTGGTATATGTAAGTAGATCATGTTTAGGGAGGAAGAAGCCAATAAGAGGGCAGTGAAGAGATATATTCTTGGAGTGTAGTGTTGTTTGGTGATGGGATGTTCGGATGTTTTTTTATAAACTACAAGTCTACAAGATATGTTGGGTGAGTGTTGGAACGTTTGATTCTCTCATCAGTCATCAATTCATCATAAAAGGGTGGTTCGATAAGTCAATGCAAGACTTGAAGATGCATTAAATCTGTAAAAGGCATAAGAGTTTATGGAGTCAAAGTGTGGTAGTTACTAGGTAGATTGTACTTGAAATCGTATTTGTCTTACAAGATATTAAAGAGAACATATATATATTTATATATTTTGCTTTCATAATCCGTATGTTTTGTTCTGAGTATTATTATTTGTCTACTTGTTTATATGGGTTAGTAAGTACTTAGTATTGCTTGTGGAGGAAGCAAGCGAAGACTGGATGAAGAGAGATGTCCGATGTCGTATTTGTGGCCAACCAAACAGGGATCGAAGGAAGGATGAATGGGTAGATTCGTAATCTGTTGGTAAGCCTCTAGTGATTGAGAAATGTCGAATGGAACCGGTATTGTTGATTAGTGAGATTAAAGCCATAATTGAATACGACTTCTGAGTTCTGACGAAGGCAAGTTGAGAAAAGGAGAACGATCTTTTTCGTAACACCCCTCATTGACTTGTTTTATCGTGCTTTTTCTAATCATTCAAATCCTAAATTTGTATAATGATGATGATAAATCAACCAATCTTAGTAAAAATATAAATTAAAAATGTGGTAGCAATATACAAAAACAGTGAAACATACGCTGTAAATTATTTTATATGTCGCTGACGTGTACTAAATGACTATTATAAAACTGAAAAGGTGATCTTTCGTTTACCTCTGAGAAAATTTAATTATTCTGTTTCCTTGAAATGCAAAATAGTAAAAAGGAAAAGAAGAAAATGCGCTTTATTTGGTAACAAATACTACAAGTCAAGAAAACACTGAAGTCAAAGGTAGATCTAACGGTTGAGATTTGATCTAGTCATCTTCCTTCTTAATCCTATCCTAAAAAACATACGAAATAAATAAAACCCTAAAAGAAACAAAAAAAAAATATTGGAAAATGGAAAAAGAAATAAAAAATCCCTAATTCTCTCTCTCTAGAATTTGTTTGTTTGTTTCTCTTTCTAAAAAGGAATGGAACCTAACGAAAGCCACCATCACCACCAACAACAGCAGCACCAGCAGCACCAGCAGCAGCAACAGCAACATCACCAGCAACGACTCGGTTCCCCTTACTTCCACCACCAACTACAGCACCACCACTATCCCACCGCCGTAGCTACCTCTACTTCTACCGGAAACGCCGTTCCATCTTCCAACAATGGGCTTTTCCCGCCGCAGCCGCAGCCTAATGATGGCTCTTCCTCAATTGCGGTGTACCCTCATTCAGTTCCCTCCTCCGCCGTGACGGCGCCGATGGAGCCGTTAAAGAGGAAGAGAGGTCGACCGAGGAAGTATGTGACCCCTGAACAAGCCCTAGCGGCTAAGAAAATGGCGTCCTCTGCGAGCAGTTCTGCTAAAGAGAGGAGAGAGCTAGCTGCTATTGCCGCAGGTACGGCACCGTCTAAATCCGGGTCATCCAAGAAATCGCAGCTTGGTTCTGTCGGTGAGTTTACTCTTTCCGCGAAAAATCCCTCTTTCTTTTGTTTTGAATCGAATCGTTGGTCAATTTGCTTCTTTTTTTATATGAAAAGTTTCCAACTTTCTGGTCAATTCTTGATTTTTTTGACACTTTAGCTTGCTAATTCGTAGGTTTGGTTTGATTTGAGACGTAATTGCCTTGAATTAGAATTACGTAACTCTGTAAAGTTTTCATCTTGAGTTTCATATTAGAGCACTAACCCTTTTTAACACTTCAGTGATGGTAGATAGATTCTTGTTTGTATAGTTTATCATTCTTTGTTGAATTTATATATCTAGTCGATGGCCTTTTTTCTCTTTTCAGATCCCATTGAGTATCTATCTTATCGAGTTGTGATATTCTGGAATTTGTTTTATACTCTGAGCTTCACAAGAAGTTTCTATTTGGTGCAGGGAAAACGGGGCAAAGCTTTATTCCTCATATCGTTAATATTGCTCCTGGCGAGGTATGTCATGTTCTTTTTACCCTCAAGATCCTTACATGTTATATATTTTGTTAAAGTAGGCGGCCCAATATCTAGCCTTCATTCAAATCTAATGTTGAAGTGATTCTGCTAGAAGCTCATCTATGATAATTTACTATTTTCCTCATTGATTCTAATGCTAATTCGAGAGTAATCTTCACGTTTCTAAGTGTTCTTTGGGTGAATTTGGCAGGATGTGGCACAGAAGATTTTGATTTTCGCAAACCAAAGCAAGCATGAACTATGCGTTCTTTCTGCATCAGGCACCATCTCTAATGCATCCTTGCGCCAGCCGGCTTCATCAGGAGGCAACGTATCATATGAGGTGATTTTCTCTTTCCATAAATTGGTATTACTCTGCCTCGCTTCTTTGTTGTAGGTTCACAAAGAGGAGATGATGTTTCTTTCTCTTTGAGCTACTCTACTCTGTGTTATAAAGGAGAATTGATTCACAATACAGTCAGCATGCTGATAAAGCTAATAAATATTCTTAATTTAAATACTCTCTCTGAAGTTTGCATTATTATTGTTACACTTAATTCAGAATTCCAAACAACATTTTTCAGGGTCAGTACGAGATTCTCTCACTATCTGGATCATATATCCGGACCGAACAAGGTGGTAAAACTGGTGGCCTTAGTGCTTCTTTATCTGGTTCAGATGGCCAGATCATCGGTGGAGCGATTGGGACCCACCTCACAGCTGCTGGCCCGGTTCAGGTACGATTCCGTTGTATCGTTGTTGCAACTAGCATATGTACACACATGCATTTTTATTTGTTGATGTTTCCAACCATCGTATGCAAAACTGACCATTGCCTAGTATAAGTCTGGCTTCGATTGATTGCCTTAGATTTGTGCAAATGCAGGTGATTCTTGGTACGTTTCAGTTTGATAGAAAGAAGGATGCTGCCGGGAGTGGTGTGAAAGGGGATGCTTCAAACAGCGGAAATCAGTTAACCTCTCCCGCTAGCACTGGACCGATACTTGACATGGGCTTCCGTCCTGGTATGGAATCTACGGGAAGAAATCCAATGCGGGGACACGATGAGCAGCATCATCATCATCAAACTGGTTTGAGTGGATCTCATCATTTCATGATGCAGGCGCCGCAGGGAATGCATATGACACACACCCGGCCTTCTGAATGGGGCAGAGGAGGCAACAGCGGTCATGATGGTAGAGGCGGTGGTGGGTATGACTTATCAGGTAAAAAAGCTCAAAACTTTCTTAAAAGATGTTTGTCATCATTCTCCATCAAATTTCGAACCTTTAAATCGAAACAACATCTTTTGGGATATGACTTGAAACCCCTATGGATATAATCTTGTGCAGGACGGTTAGGACATGAGTCGTCGGAGAATGGGGATTACGAGCAGCAAATACCGGATTAGTACCGAGCTTCCAGACACGTCTTTAGATCCAAACTAGAAACCGAAGGCAAGCAAAGAATCTGAAGTGATGGAAGACTTATAAGACAGAAACTTGTCCCAAGGGCTTTCATCAGAGACAAGTTGAATGATGATGCTTTTGTTCTTCGTGGTTCGGTGTACTATATACTCCACAGCCTTCTTTTCTTTCAGTAACGATTCTGCTTCTCTTTCACATCATTCCTTTTTCTTTTACTCTTTTCTTTTCTTATATTCATTTTTGAAAATTACTGGTGAACCACTCTTTGTTCATTCCCTCTTAATTAGCCAATCAAAATACAATAAAGTGTCATGTCATTGTTTATTTAAAAAATAAATCAAAATTAAAATCAGAAAAATAAAATAAATTAAAGAATAAAATCCCTCGAAACAATAACTTTACTTAATTCAATTAATTTCTTTAAAATTGGTCAAACTGGTAATTACCACTGTAAAGTTCTTAAATTTCTTTTCTATTTCTTGCAAGTGTGACTATTTTTGTCAACTTGTATTTTGTTTGTGTAACAGTTGATAATGTCAGATTAAAAAAAAAATAGTGAGCTTGATGGCCAATTTTATTGATATTAGTACTATTAAGCAACTCTGCGGAAATTGCTTAAGCTAAAAGTCTGCTGCGTTTGTCTTAGAAACTTTGAATATTGTTGACTCAAGTCTGAAAATCAAAATCCGCAAACGCGCAACTGAAACTCCCGGAAAAGATCCGCCACCCACCGGACCGGACCACAACTTGGTTTCTTCTCTGTCCCCATCGGTTCTGTTTTCTCCTCTTCTGTATATAAAGATGTCAGATTGACTTGATTTCGTTGTTGCAAATCGTGTTTCACTGAGACGGGTCTTTCTTATTTCTCCTACTAGATTCGAAAGGTGTGTTCTTTTTATTTATTCTATTGGCTTCAATCTTGGTTTCATTTCTCTGATTAACCCTCCTCTCTGGAATCTTAACGGAAAAAAGAAAAGAAAAAAAAAAGAAACAAACTCAAAGTCGGTTTTGTCTTCTCACTACGGATATCGAGGAACATAGATCTTGATGCGTTTTCTTCTTGTGGGTATGCGGGTTCGGACTTGTTTAATCTCATTGGTGTCTACACGTTGTGGAAATCTATGAATACGAAGTCGGTTATTATCATCAATTGGTTCATTGGATCTCAACTTGTAGAGAGCATTAAGGCTGAGGCTGGATTCGATTAGGGTTTAGTGAGAGAGTAAGAGATTGGATCAAAGATGTTAAGATCCTTAGGTCTTGGATTGCTCTTGTTTGCTCTTCTTGCTCTGGTTTCTGGTGATAACGATTACGTGAGCTGTAACTGTGATGACGAAGGGTTCTTGAGTGTCCACACGATCCTAGAATGTCAGAGAGTGAGTGATCTCTTAATCGCCATTGCCTATTTCTCAATACCTCTCGAGCTTCTCTACTTCATTAGCTTCTCCAACGTTCCTTTCAAATGGGTTCTTGTTCAGTTCATTGCCTTTATCGTCCTCTGTGGAATGACTCATTTGCTTAACGCTTGGACCTATTACGGACCGCATTCTTTCCAGCTCATGTTATGGCTCACGATCTTCAAGTTCCTCACGGCGCTTGTCTCCTGCGCCACTGCCATCACGCTCTTGACTTTGATTCCGCTGTTGTTGAAATGGAAAGTTAGAGAGCTTTACTTGAAGCAGAATGTGTTGGAACTTAACGAAGAGGTTGGATTGATGAAGAAACAGAAGGAAATGAGTGTGCAGGTGAGAATGCTTACTCGGGAAATCAGGAAATCGCTTGATAAGCATATGATTCTGCGGACTACTCTCGTTGAGCTATCCAAGATTCTTGATTTACAGAACTCTGCTGTTTGGATGCCCAACGAGAACAGAACCGAGATGCATTTGACTCATGAGCTAAGGGCGAATCCGATGAGGAATTTCAGGGTAATCCCGATTAATGATCCCGATGTTGTTCAGGTTAGGGAGACGAAAGTAGTCACAATTTTGAGGAAAAACTCGGTTCTTGCGGTTGAGAGCAGTGGTTGCGGGGGTTCGGAAGAGTTTGGTCCGGTTGCTGCTGTTCGGATGCCAATGCTTCACGGATTGAATTTTAAAGGAGGAACTCCCGAGTTTGTGGATACTCCTTATGCTATTATGGTTTTGGTACTTCCGAGTGCGAATTCACGGGTTTGGACCGATAAAGAGATCGAAATAGCAGAAGTTGTTGCTGATCAAGTCGCTGTTGCTATCTCTCATGCATCGGTTCTCGAAGAATCACAGTTAATGAGAGAAAAACTCGGTATTCAAAACCGTGCTTTACTTCGAGCTAAACAGAACGCAATGATGGCGAGTCAAGCAAGGAACACTTGCCAGAAAGTGATGAGTCATGGAATGAGGAGACCAATGCACACAATTCTCGGTCTCCTCTCGATGTTTCAGTCCGAAAGTATGAGTCTTGACCAAAAAATCATTGTTGATGCGCTCATGAAAACAAGCACAGTTCTCTCGGCTTTAATCAACGACGTGATTGACATCTCGCCTAAAGATAACGGGAAATCGGCATTGGAGGTAAAACGGTTTCAGCTACATTCTTTGATAAGAGAAGCCGCTTGTGTTGCGAAATGCTTGAGCGTCTACAAAGGTTACGGTTTTGAGATGGATGTTCAAACGCGTTTACCTAATTTAGTAGTGGGAGATGAAAAGAGAACATTTCAGCTTGTGATGTATATGCTTGGGTATATTTTGGATATGACTGATGGAGGCAAAACCGTTACATTCCGGGTTATCTCTGAAGGTACCGGTAGTAGTCAGGACAAGAGCAAAAGAGAGACTGGAATGTGGAAATCGCATATGTCCGATGATTCACTCGGTGTGAAATTTGAAGTTGAGATTAATGAAATTCAGAATCCGCCATTAGATGGTTCGGCTATGGCGATGAGGCATATTCCGAACAGAAGGTACCATAGCAATGGTATTAAGGAAGGCTTGAGCTTGGGCATGTGTAGAAAGCTTGCACAGGTTAGTGATCTCATCAAAGCTCTGTTTCTGCTCTTTTTGGTTTATCTCACTGAGAAAATTTGTATAGTAGAGACTTTAGTTACAATTTGTGTGTGTGATTTTGATACTTGTCTGCAGATGATGCAAGGAAACATATGGATATCACCGAAATCGCATGGACAAACACAGAGCATGCAACTAGTTCTGCGGTTTCAGACAAGACCTTCGATTAGGAGATCAATCTTAGCAGGAAATGCTACTGAGCTCCAACATCCGAATTCAAATTCGATTCTTCGTGGTCTAAGAATTACTCTAGCAGACGATGACGATGTGAACAGAACTGTAACCAAGAGACTTCTTGAGAAACTCGGGTGTGAAGTGACTGCCGTGTCGTCTGGTTTTGAGTGTTTGAGTGCGCTGTCAAATGTGGAAATGTCGTATAGAGTTGTAATATTGGATCTGCAGATGCCGGAGATGGATGGTTTTGAAGTAGCGATGAAGATAAGGAAGTTTTGTGGACATCATTGGCCATTGATTATAGCTTTGACTGCAAGTACCGAAGATCATGTTAGGGAAAGATGTTTGCAAATGGGGATGAATGGTATGATTCAGAAACCGGTTCTTTTGCATGTTATGGCGTCTGAGCTTAGACGAGCTTTGCAGAGCGCTAGCGAGTGAAGCTAGCTAGCTAAGAGAAGAAATCAGAAATCAAGAATCTTGAAATGAATTCAAGAATTTGAGGAAATCAAGAAAATGAAGAAAGCGGAGTGAGGATTCTTTGAAGATCTGATGCATAGAGACCTCTTTGGTGAAGTGTTTTTGTTGTTATTGTCTCGGTTCTACGGTAATGAGAACTGAGTCAGTTTTCGCTATTTAGCCTTAGTTTGGAGAGATTGGTTGGTTCGAAAACTATTTATACGTAATGATTTTCGCATTTTAAGCGGAAAAAACAACATAAATTTAATTAGATTTAATCATAATTAATTTATAGTTTAGTGTCGAGTTATTCTCTTCAAATATTTTATAGTGCAGTTCAAAAGATTTATACAATTACCTTTTTCATCTCATTATGGAATTGATCATATTTTTTGTCAAAATCTATCGTTTAATTTCTCTACTGTTCTAATTTTTTAGTACTTCTTGTTCGGACTGAGTCAATGTTCAAGCATTACAATACTACAAAGATTTTGGACTTTTCTTTGTCAACGAAAAAGAAAGAAATTTTTCATAAATCAGATGGAATTATAAGCTCTTTTACTTTAGTCAATGTAAATTGATATTTATTTAGAATCTAATTTTTACTATTTTTCTTGATTTTTTTCTGTTTTGCCATCGTATGTTTTATCTATTTAGACAAATTATTAGTTTAGATTCCAGTTCAGCTTGCTTTTTCAGACTATGATACCACACAACCTCATCAAGTGCTTGAATCTTGATTATTAAATGTTAACTATATTGTATTTTTTTATTTCCTTATATGAATACGAAAGTTAGTGTTATTTAATGCTTTGTGTAGGCTTAAGAACAAACATCACGTAACGCTATTCGACATATGTGATGTTCGATATTTTTTAAAAATATACTTTTTGTTTGGACTGGATGATATAAACATATACCCAACAACAAAATTTTCCCTCATTCAAAAAAAAAAAAAAGATCAGTTCTCGTTTCTTACAACTAATTAACAATCAAAATTCCTTCGGAAAAATACTACTCTTATGTTAGTTCATACAACATCATGATTCATATAATTGTAAGAATATGGAATAATGTATGTAATAATATGTAGATGTTAAAAATAAATAAAAAGACATGTTGTAATAGATATCTAGACAGTAAAAGACATAAACTATTATCTAGATTGTATGTTATACTACTGTTTTCCGAAAATTTCCATATATGTTAAATATTTGATTACAACAAATATATTTATACTTCTATAAAAAGTTTGGTCGACTATTAATATTCCAAATGCATATTTTTTTTGGCCAAAACACCTAATATAAGAAAGATATACTAATTTAATTATTTATATATGTTTGATTAGTACCTCGGCGTCCTAATTTTTAAAAATCCTTTTATATTGTTGTTTTAGGACCCCTAAGCAATGCTTTATTCTTGTGGTCTTTGTTATACTTTTAATAATGCTCGTTTATGGATTCCTTTTCAAAGTATTATTTGTTAATTGCTCTAGTTTTAAACTTTTTCTAATTAATTATTATTGTCTTTTGAGTGCGGTTTAGGGCTTCCTTTTTTTATTAAAAAAATATTGCAAGAAAATTATGCTCTGATATTTTTTTTACACAACACTTTTTCGAGAATTACTAGTTTTTATATTACTTA